TTTGCACATCAAAGACATCTTTACAGACACATCACCCAAAGCAGTGATAGTGAAGGCAAAGATCAACAGCTGGGACTACATCAAATTAAAGAGCTTCTGCACAGCAAAAGAGACAATAACAAAAACAAAGAGAAACCCCACCAACTGGGAGAACATTTTTGCACCCAACACTAGTGAGAATGGCACATATTAAAAAAACTAGCAACAACAAATGTTGGCGAGGGTGTGGAGAAAAAGGAACTCTTCTGCACTGTTGGTGGGAGTGCAAACTGGTCCAACCACTATGGAGAGCTGTGTGGAGATTTCTGGACCTACTAAACATAGAGCTTCTATATGATCCAGCAATTCCACTCCTAGGTATTTACCCAAAGGACACAGAAACATCAATTCCAAAGAACACCTGCACCCCTATGTTTATAGCAGCACTATTTACAATAGCTAAGCTTTGGAAACAGCCCAAATGCCCAAAAATAGATGAGTGGATCAAGAAGATGTGGTACATATACACCATGGAATATTACTCAGCATTCAAAAAAGATAAACACATGCAATTTGCAGCAACATGGATGGCACTGGAAGGGATCATGCTCAGTGAAATAAGCCAAAAAGAAAAAGAAAAATACCGGATGGTCTCACTCATAGCAGGAATCTAGAAAACTTAAATAAGGGACCAGGAAAATGAATAACTATAAGAAAGTGAAAATCAAAATCAACAAAAAACTATGAACCAGAGACACTTTTTGGGGGTGGGGGGCGGGAGGGGAGGGATTGGGGTCAGAATGGGGCGTTTGCAATTGTATGGGGGAATATAAAAATAAAATTTATTATTAAAAAAAAATAAAAATAAATAAAAATAACAAGAAAAAAAGGGTCAGGTTGGCATTGGTCTTCTCAGAAGGTTTCATGCAGAAAACAGTGGCGGTACATCAGCACAAGAGCGAAAGAAAGATAGTGTGAGCCATGGTATGTCAGTTTTTCTATGCAGTCACTCAGTCTTCCATGAGTGGAGAATAGAGACATTTTGCATTTTGTATAATTAAGAACTCAGGGAAGATCATTCCCTTGAAACTAAACTATCATTCCTGACAAACTAAATTAGAGTATGAGCTTCATCCAACCATAAATGATTGTAGGGATTTTGGCAGAAAGGTCATCAGTGAAGACTGCCTAAAGATCTAAAACTGAAAACAAAGTTGGAGGTAAAGCTGTGTACATGATTTGTAAATGACATGCACTGTGACAATACAGAAATTGCATGCCCATGAGGAGAAAACACAGAAGACAACAAGGTGGAAAGTTTGTGTGGCCATATCATAGGTCATATCTAACAAAAAGATTACCATTTCAAACTGATAACTCTACTTGTAGAAAGTTAAGTATATATATATTTTTAAGATTTATTTATTTATTTATGCAATCACTGGGTACAGTCAGAAGCGTGGGAGGATGAGAGGATTCACCAGAGACAGAGTGGGAAACAGAACAGGCAGACTGACGAAATACACTGCTGAGGGGAGAAGCGGGTGCGGCAGGAAAGGTTCACGCTCTATGTGGGACCCTCCCTGGTGGCCGGGAATCGAACCGGCTCTGCAGAGGCTGCGGGCAGCCTCGTAGCGCAGTGCTCAACTGCTGCGCCACCAGGGGAGGCCCAAGTTAAGTATATTTAAAAGTACAAAGATAAGCATTAGAAACATGATACTATTAGAAAAGAGGGAAATAATAGGGGAGGACAAATTTTTAAGATTTTTATATTGTCTCCTTAAGCCATCTAACAAAGAGAAACCTGAGAGCAAGTGGTATTATATAGACACTATTTGTCCATTTTCTTCTCCCAATATATCTCTCTCCTGTATTCTACCTCGATATTCTGTTCACTTCCTAGGCAAAATGGTATAGATTTTGTTGTGATTTGATGCTTTCAAAACTCCCACCAATATTGTCCTTCACAGTAGAATGCTGACAGCCTTCTCTTTGAAAGACTAGGGTGCCTTTTCTATGAAGGTTCTCTCTTGCCGATCCCCCAGTTAGTGGAAATCATTTTGACCTTTGTCTAGGTAATCTGAGGGCAATCTGTTTGGGGGATGTGATGAAATATGGAGAAAAGGTAATGCTTTGTAACTGCTAGGAAGCTGGCTAAGGAAGACAGTGGAAATGAGATGGAACTGGTTTCCTGGGTGGGCCTAATTAGTATCTTCTTTAGCCCTTCTATTCTCTTTCACTAGCTTTAACCCAACCTTTAAACACCCTAGCCAGGTCCAGCACCCCTGGGTGGGGTTGTCCAAAAGGGGCCCCAAAGTTTCTGTGTTGGGCCAGTGAGACCACAACAAATCAGAGTCATGACTGAGCTAATAATGGTCAGGGGAAGGCAGGAGGGAAGGAGAAAGATGAGTTGGAGTCAACAGGCCCAAGAAGGGGAAGGACTCAGCCAGAGGTGCTGGAAGAGCTGACTCTAATGAGCATATCTTAGGGGAGTAGGTAGCAAGGGGGGCTCCTGCTTGGTTTAGTCCAACCTCTGCTCTAGCTGCTACTTTTGCAGGGCACCCTCCTGCCACTGTGCCTTGGAATCCCAGGGAACAGGTGTTTCTCCATTTTGCCACTGCCAAGTACCCTGTCCAGCACCCTTTAGTTTCCTCACCACACTGAGACCAGTTGGTAGAGGTAACTGCAAATGTGAACTGCGAGGGCTTCTTTCCCAGTCCCCCAGCCCTGGGAGACCACCGAAACACAGATCCTTGAGTGGGGAATTCATCCTGGTGTCACATCACAACGGCTCTAAAGAACAGGGAATATCAAGCAGATTAAAGGAAGGGAACAATTAATACTGACTATTCATGGGGCCTCCCTGGTGGTCCACTGAATGATGAAGCAATCCACAACCTCTGCAGGCCAGGGAGCATTCCACATGGCGCAGCAGACCTCTCCTGTCTCGCCCCGCTGCTCCCCTCAGCCGTGTATTTTAGTAGATCTGCCTGTTCTGCTCCCCACTCTGTCTCTGGTGAATCCTCTCACCCCCTGCATCGCTGACCTGTACCCCAGTTCTTGTATGCATTGTGCAGAAAAATGCACCAATCATAAGCTTGATGAAAGTGAAAACACCCAGGCTGTAAAATTCATTCATATCCCCTTCATTCCTCATTCCCTTTTCTCTATAGTAATAGTATCCTGACTGTTAATATCATAGATTGGTTTTGTCTGGTTTTGATGCTAAGTGGAACCATTCACTCAGTATATAGTCTATTCTGTTAGGTCCAGCTTCTTTCACTAAATATGTTATGAATTCAATGAATTATGTTTTGTAAGCTAGTTCCATATTGTTGCATGTAGCATAGTTTGTTCACTTACACTGGTATATCATTTGCTCCTGAATAAATATGGTAACAATTGTTCTTTTTGTATGGACTTTGCAGTTATTTCCTCTTGGGTGTTATGAAAAATGTTCCCTTTGATTGTCCTACATGTTTATGGGTGCACATAAGTACATATTTATGTTGTGTACCTAGGAGTTGCAGGCTATGCATAGATTCCACTTTAGTGGCTGCCAAACACTTTAAGGGAATACTGCCAAATACATTTCCCCAAGTGGTGGTAACAATCTACCTTCCAGACTTCTGTGCATCAGTTCCATCTAGTTACTCCACACTATCAACCACACTTGGTTTTGTCAGTTTTTTTTTTTTTTAATATTAGCCATTCTTGTGGATCTGTAGGGTATCTCAATAATTTTTACATTTTTCCTGATAATTAGGTTGATTATATTTTCATATACTTTTTGACCTATTTTATTAAGTGCCTGATTTGCTCCAACTTTATTCTTCTTCAGGATAGGCATTACTATTCTTGAATATGCATTTTCATATACATTTTAGAAATAATTTTTTGTCTCTGTCACCCCCAAAACTCAAAGCTTAATTGTTATTTCATGGGCTCGATGTGTCAGTTTGGGGAGAATTTAAATGTCTAGTGTTGAGTCATTCAGTCCATGAACATGGGAATAATTCTCACTAATGTTGGTTTTCTTCTATTTCTCTCAGTCATTTTATAGTTTTCTAATGAAAAGTCCTTTAGCATTTTTCATTTGATTTATTCCTAGGCATTTGATTGTATTATACTATTATAAATGGCATAATCTTTTAAATTTTAATTTCCTAATTGTTACAGGTATACAGAAATACAATTGATTTTTGTAAATGGTATCTAAAGTCACTTATTACTTCCAAAAATTTATCTGTAGTTTTTTTCAGACTGTAAAATCCTGTTGTGTGACTTATTTGAAGCTTTTATTTATTGATTTTCAATCTTTATGCTTTGCAGTTCCTGTTCTTGTCTTACTACACTAGTTAGAACCTCCAGTACAAAGTCAAATAGAATTGAAAATAACAAGTATTGTTGGCTCATTCTTAATCTCAGGGGGTCATTAAATATGACATTGGCAGTAGACCTTATGCAGGTAATCTTGATCAGACTAAGGAAGTCTCCTATTTTTCATTTACTGAAAAATTTTATCATGAATTGTTGAATTTTTATCAAGTGTTTTCCTTGTACTATGAAATAATCATTATTTTTTTCTTCTTTACTCCACTAATGAGAAATGAAAATATGATATATACTTTATTTTTTTATTTTTTAAATAGAGGCATGTTTTATTTATTTATTTATTTGTTTGTTTTGTTTATACATGCACTGGGTACAGTCAGAAGCGCAGGAGGGTGAGAGAATTCACCAGAGCCAGAGCAGGGAGCAGAGCAGGCAGAAGGACCGAAGTACACTGCTGAGGGGAGCAGCGGGCGGCAGGAGAGGTCTGCGCGCCATGTGGGACCCTCCTCCGGTGGCCGGGGAGCAGCCGGGGAGCAGCCGGGGACCGAACCAGCGCCGCAGAGGCCGCAGGCAGCTTCGCAACCCAGGGCTCTACCGCTGCACCACCGGGGAGGCCCCATGATATATACTTTAATATAAAATAGAAATGTGATAAAAATTAGACATATCAGAATGAAAAATGCCCAGGGAATTTTGCTGGGTTACTGGAAATGGTTCTCTCTTCTCTGCCATAATTATGAGTTATAACACCTATGTAAGAATGAAGCTTCTAATCACTATTTTTCCCACCAAATAGAGAGAGCCTGCCAGAAAATATGGCCAATGCAGAGGAAATCAAAACCAGTATATGGGGAAGGGGCATGAGAGCAATAAGGACACCCACAGGAAAATAATATTGGTGACATTTGAACCCTGGCTCCAGCAATGTCAGACCTTCCCCTGAGAGCCAAGATGTAAACTAATGAATTCTGGGGGGTTTAAATTACTTTGAGTTGATCTGATATACATTATGTCCGTCTTGCTTTGAAGACTTTTTCCATTCAGATTGCAAAAATCATATCACCCATTGAACATAAATTGTATTTCCATCACAGATATGTTACTAGGCATGGGGTTGGGATAGCTGACACATGCAGTTCTGGGCAGCCTTGTTCAAACAGTGTGGGAAAGAGGGTATAAAAACCAGCACATCCAGGTACAACATCAACAACCTTTATATTCACACACCTGTTAGGTTCTACCTTACCACTCAATTCATTTTCCAAAATACAGAACTTCAGCCCATCATCCTGGCCTTTGGAATGAGTACAGAAAAAATTATCCAACCTTACTTCAAAATCACAGATGAAAATTATTCTAGTGATTTCTGGAATAGGATAGATATAGGGAGACAGGGAATAAGAGGGTCAATGACACATGCAAACTTTCCTAGGGCAAAGGGATTTGCAGCTCAGGGAGCAATCAAGTCTTTCACGTGAGACATCATGATCACTGCTATGATCCTTAACTGAACTGACACCCCCGGAGCCTGCAGCTCAGGACTCTGCACAGCACAGGATCAGCCCCAGCATCCTGTGGGCCCCTAAGACACAGGTTTAATGAAGCCATAATCCATGCACTTGATGAGACATTCCCGGGCTGTCTGAACCACTGCTGCTCTCTTCTCATCCGGCTCCTGTTTGCCCACCACAGTCAGGATCTCCAGCAGCTCACTCTCCACCAGCTTCTTGGCCAGCTCAGCATCAGCCACCAGCAGGTTGTAGGCAATGACTAGGCCTCGGTGTTGGACTGACAGCTGGTCATGCAAGCAAAGCCTCTGTAGGATCTCTAGCCACTGAGTTGTCTGGAGGTTGGGGTGGGAGAGAAGGAAGGATGAGAGGAATCAGTGGAGAGACAGAGAGAAGAGTTTTTGGACAAGATGAGCAGAAGGCCCAGATTCTGTTCTCTAAAGAGTCAAATACAGACCTGGTTATTTGCATATGGAACTTGACACGTGCCTCCAAGACCCTTGGGACTAGCCTATCTCCTTACCTGGACCAAGGCAGGAATCAGAGAACTAGAGGGAATTTGCAATAATCCAATCCATTTAATTGGGATTAAAGTGGACAGACTGAGGTCAAGAGGGGAAGTGAATTAGCCATGGTCATACATCTGGAAATAGTAAAAGCCAAATATCCACCACTCCATTTATGTTTTAAGTGTCTTGAGGAGCAAAGGTACAGGCCCACCGCATGCCTGAGTGTAATGGTTATCAAGAGTATTCAGAAAGGAGGATTCTAATTCTGGGCACAATGGCAATGCCTGCTCCTGCCCACCCAAGTATCCTCTGAGACATGAGTTCCAGCCCTGACTTCAACTGGAATCAAAACTGGTGTCAGGAGTATGTCTTCTCCATCCATCCTCCATCTCTCCCCACCACTGCCAGATGTGAAGCAGTCCAACTACTATGCATGGGAGTACAGGACTCTAGACCACTGCAATCATTCCAGAGACAGATGGAGCCGAGACTAGTACCAAGAGACTAGGCTCTTACATCATCCAACAGACACATATGGGCAGCTGAGCAGAATGGTTATCAACGTGGGCTTTGGAGTCAGAGAGAGCAGGCAGTGTTCAGGTCTCTATGTGCTCACCCATGACCTTAGCTGAGTTACAATATTTAATCTCTCCAAGCCTCAGGTGTCTCATCTGTCCTGCTCTGCCTACCTCTTAACATTGTGGTAGTTTAAGGAGATGATTCATGGAAAGAGCTTCACATGGAGGCTTGAGCTAGTAAGAGTTCAACAAATGAATAGGGATGATGATGATTTCAGACACTTATGTCCCCTTTGCTTCCTCATACCTGTACCCTCACCCTCCATTTGTCACCAGGGAGCCCCTTTTTACATGCACTGTTCTCAAATTGGAGAGATAGACACAGAGGAGGAGAAAAGGAGAATTATTGGCTTCTGAGCTTCTAAGTGGACTTCTGTAAACTGCACTGAGTGTCCTACCACAAGGAAAGAAAATGAAAGTTCTGCTAGTTGGGCCTCCCTGGTGGCGCAAGGGGTTAAGCACCGCACTATGAAGCAATCCACAGCCTCTGCAGCACGAGTTAGATCCCTGGGCGGCCAGGGATCAACCCACATGGCGCAGCAGACCTCTCCTGTCTCACCCACTGCTCCCCTTAGCAGTGTATTTCAGTCAGTCTGCCTGTTCTGCTCCCCACTCTGTCTCTGGTGAATCCTCTCACCACCCCCCCAACACCTCTGGCCTGTACCCCAGCTCTTGTATGCATAAATAAGGAAATCTTAAAAAAAATAAAAAAGAAAGTTCCACTATCTGTGGTAGCATTCAGGGCAAGATTGAATGCTGGTGGGTAACTTACGATAATGGGTCCAGTGCCCATCATTTCCTGGGAAGACCGGGGACTAAGGGAAGAGGTGATAGATCCTATTGAATTAGGATCCCAGGGCTGGAGGGACAGGTGCCTGGCTTCCCAGGGTGTATTTCTATGTGAGACTATAGAGAGGTCCAGTATCCAACATGTTAGGTTGAGCAGCTTCACAGAGTCCCCCGGATGCCAGTGCGAAGATGCGAATGCAGTGGAGACTTCTGAGCCCCTAGAGGGTTAGCTTTCCTGAAGGTTCTAAACCCTTCCCAACTAATGGCTGTGTGGCCTTGAGCTAGTTATTTTTCTGCTTTCAATTTCCTCATCTGTAAAGTAGGGATAACAATAATCACACCACCAGACAGGGTTAGGAGGATGAAATGACTTAATAGATGTGAACCTGCAGAACAATGCAGGGACACAGTAAGTCCCACCCCCAGTCTACTCAATCAGAATGTCTGGGGGTAAGTTTCAATGAGCCATGCAGGTGATTCCTGCACAACTTTCAGTTCTGAGAAGCTTAAGGGAAAGACTGAAGCCCAACAACTACGTAGAGTGAGCTATACCCAGTAGAGACCCCCACCCCATGCCCACCCCATCTCCATTCCAGGACAACATAAGCCCTGTGCAACTTAGAAAACACACACATGCAAACACACTCCTTAAACCAACTGTCTAAAAGAGCCTGCCTTTGAAGCAGATTTGAGCACATTTGAAATTGAGATGTGTACATTTTTTACCTTCTGTGAAGATGATACCATGGACTAATTTTGGTTTGATGAAATGAGGAAAGTGTCATGTTGCAGCCCCATGTCCATGATTGTGTAAATATCACTGCCATTACATCTACTGCAGTGGCCACAGTCCCACCAAAGGAGCTGGCCATCATGCCCAATTAAGAAAATCTATGGTCTCATGGCCAAACCACAAGCTCTTGTTGGCACCAACCATGTCCATGCTGCTTTGGCGGATCTCAGGGACTTCACAGCAGCAGTCAGTGTTATTATTTTTCTTAAGTGATCAGTAATAAGCAAAGGCAATGGAGGAAACGATAGTTGCCAGGGACTTGAGCTGGCACACCTGGGGAGTCCAAAGAATTGATGTAAGAGGCTGAAGGGTATAGATTCTCTTGTCTTTAAGCGGTAGCAACAGATACCCAGGGGCTTGCAGGGGATACCATGAGACTGGCCTCTGCCCAGAGGGCCAGCCAATGTGGCCTGGGGATTCTCTGAGCCCACCCAGCCCCATGGTCCCCCAGGACCCACTCTTACCACTTGGGTCATCTTGATGCACAGTTTCTTGTGTGCTTCTGTCAGGATAGCCAGGGCCCCGGCCGCTGCATTCTGCACCTTGTCATCATCCTCCCCACAGAGCAGCACCACCAACTTCAGTCGGTCATTCCCATCAGCCAGAAACCTCTCCTGTACCTGTGGGAGGCAGCACAAGCCTCAGCCCAGAGAGGAAACTGTGTGTCTGAAGCCGTGTTCTCTGATCCAGGATCCCGCGGAATATTCCCTTGAGCAGTTCACCCATGCCACCTCTCCCAGGAAGTATTCCCTGATTGGATGGATGAATGGATAAAGGGGCTACAAGCTCCTCCTACTAAAAACATTAAAGAGATTAGGGGGTTCCCCATACAACAGGCTCCACCTCTGTTTGCATTCAGTTCTCCACAGCAGGGAAAAGAGGCAAAGAGGCAGGCACAGACTCCTGGATGGTAAAAGATGCCTGAAAAGAATGCTTTACTTCCTTTTGGGGAGTCCTGGAATGTTTCTCCTATAACAGATGGAATTTCAGCATCTGCCACAGAATGACTTTGCAGCCCCTGCAAGCACAAGGAATGGGGCAGGAGCAAAGACATCTGGGTAGTGTGTTGGTATTAAAAAACTGCTGTAGTCTCCACCAGGTGAGGGATGAGGCCTCCCCAGGATGCGGAAGCCAGGAGAGTTGTCCAGGGCCCAGGGTACTGACATATCTCAGCACACTGATCCCTGTGTTCTACAGTAAAATCTGGTCTCTAAGTTTAAGGGTGATTTATTGGGTCAAGTTTCCTAGATGCAAAGTTCCAAGAGGGGTCAAAGGTTGCAAATGCCCATGGTATGACCCTCCATCTCATCTCCCTAAAGCTGGAGCAGAGGTCCTGAGAGGTGGTCAGTGCAGTCCCCTTCTCCTGGGGGCACAGTGGTAACTGGGAAGCAGCTGCCTAGAAGGACTACATCCCCCCACTTCTTGCACCTTGAACTAGTTCTCATCAATGGAAGGTGAGGGTGAGTGACTGTCACTTCCAGGCCACCGTGGGGTACCATGGGTGCGTTCCCATAGCCTCTCTTCTGGTCACCATCTCACCAAAGGAGACCACTCTCAGGGTGGATCAACCAAAGAAGCCTGGATCCCCAAATCACCACTTGGAAGAGAGCCATGTGGTCCAAATGTAGGCGAGAAGTGAACTTCTATCCTGCTGGGGCTGCTCTATATTTTGATTCTGGTTATTGCAGCAGCTGGTACTCCTGAGGGGGGTGGGGAGAAGGCTGCACCCCCTCCCATTGTCTCTGTCCTCCCCTTTCCTTAGACATACTCTCTCTGTCTCCCACATGGCTGGTAGACCCCCAGCCCAGGCTCAGGCTAGTCTCCTGGAGAGCCTGGGTAGCATTGTTTCTTTTGATTTAACAGGCTTTCATGGGTTGGGTTTTCCCCCTATAACAGAGAAGATCCAGGACTCTAGTCAAGTGCTGAGAGGGAACAGAGTGGTCTCACAATTGGCCTGTCATGTCATGAAGGGCATCAATTTATACCCTCTGGTCATCCCTGATGAGGCTATGCCTACAGCCATAGCAGGATACTAGAGGGACAGAAAGGAGACTTTCAGCATCATATGACTAATTTATCCCTTTACTGGATCATGAGTTCACTGAGATGTTCTGAATTCATTTTATGTTTATAAACATAAAATGGGCTTCCCCGGTGGCACAGCGGTTGAGCGCTGGGTTGTGAAGCTGCCCACAGTCTCTGTAGCGCTGGTTCGATCCCCAGCCGCCGGGCGAGGGTCCCCCGCTTCTGACTGTACCCAGTGCTTGTATAAATAAATAAATAAATCTTTTAAAATAAATAAATAAATAAATAAATCCCGGGATTATTCTGTGAAGTTAGAAGGCATTGCAGTTTCTATGGAAACCGGGATAGTTCATTAAATGTTAACACTGAGTGTTCTAAAATTGTGTATAACTATTTTTGAATTTCTTCAGTTCTTTATGTGGAACTCCAACAAATGCAAGTGGTCTACTGGCCTCTCTTTACTTCTGTGGGTCCCTGGTCTCATATCCTGCATTACTATGAGATGATATAGAACTAAATGATTTAGAGAAGCATTTAGTGGTATCTTCTACCTCATCCAGCCCAGGCTTTGGGGTCAAAGCCCCAATCAGGCATAAATAATGTTATTTTGTGTGTGTTTCCCTGTCACCTCTAAGGGCCCCTACAAGGAGGGGGCTATCGTCCAGGAAAGAGTGGATTCCTGGCTTCTCTGACGAATGCTACCTTACTATCATTGTAACAGCCCAAAGTCTCACCCCAGGCCTGACCAGTCCCCACCTGAGCCCCTCACCTCCTTGTTCACCACCATGTTGCACATGCACTCAGTGGCCGCCTGTCGTAGCTGGTCATGGTTCTCAAACATGTAGTTCTCAATGTCTGGCAAGGCCTTCTCCTTAAAGATCTTCCGCCTGGAGTGGGAAAGATGGAGGAAGAGAGGCCACTGAGTCCCCTACAGTGCATATTTGGGGTTTGGGGGTCACCCCAGGGGCCATTTTCCATCCTGGTGGCATCCCTTCCGCAACCCCACTCAGCAAGGCATGGATGGCATAGGTCCAGCCCCCAACTCCAGCGGGAGTGCCAATGGGCATGAACTAAATGACAGAGCATAGAGAGAATCCTGGCCATAGTGATGGGTTCCAGAAAGAATATCTGACAACTGGAGATTCTTAGGTTTAATTGTTAGGGAATTAAGTTCTCTCTGTGTCTCCTGATGACTGTGAGGCCAAGAAGGTGCGAGGTCTGGAGCTTCCCTGTGACCATGAGAGGGGAAGGCATCCGCAGAGTAGGATGACACAGACAGGAGAGGAGGGAAGAACAAGGCCCTGGGACAGCTCTTGCCCTGGCCTAAAGCCACACTTGAATCTGGATGCCCAGGACTTTTCATTTACATAGGCCAACAAGTTCCCTTTACACTCCCACCAGCTGTGGTTAACTTCTCTGCACTTACAAACAAAAGACTCTCAATCCAATACACTCCACCCCACTGCTTCCAAGAAGGAGTACACTTCAGCTCTTTTACTATTTCAGAAAGAAGTGTCCTTACAATCTCCAGTGGCTTTATATACTTGCTATGTGGTTTTTCCCAAAAATCCCTCCTACTGTCATTCTTTGAATGCCTTTTTAAAAAAGATTCATTTATTTATGCATACAAGAGCTGGGATACAGGCCAGAGGGGTGGGGCGTGGGTGAGAGGATTCACCAGAGACAGTGGAGAACAGAACAGGTAGACTGACTGAAATACACTGCTGAGGGGAGAGGCAAGTCAGGAGAGGTCAGCTGCGCCATGTGGGTAGCTCCCTGGCCAGGGATCGAACTCACACTGCAGCAGCTGCAGATAGCTTCATAGGTTGCATCTTAACCCCTTGTGCCACCAGGGAGGCCCTTCTTTGAATGCCTTTGGGCCTGTCCTCAGAGAAGACCACTTTTCACACATGATGTGTATGAAATTTCATCCAACACTTTATGGGACACCTCTCCTACCCCTGTGCCCTCCACGTCTCACTCACCGGAGTTTGTCACTCCGTGCAGACAAGTTGGTGAGGCCTAGGAGAGCCTCGTAGTTTTGCAGCCCATCCCTCTGTGTGTCCAGGAGTTTCACGAGGGGCCGCACCACCTCATACACCTGTGGGAGGGACAAGACGTGGGTCCAGTGGGGTCCACACTTCCCAGTTCCTAACATTTAAGGTGCCTGGCTTTACAATTTCCAAAACACTGGCCCACCCACTCTTTAAACCAGTCTTCACAATGCTCCTGAGGGGCAGGATTGCTTCCTCTAGTTTGGGGTGAAAATGACTGAGATTCTGAGCAAACACTGTCAGTCAGGCCAGGTCTGGGATCCAGGTGCTTCCAATCCATGGCCTCTCTGGGACAGACAGCACCATGCTGCCTCCAGGCTGGGGGCACGGCAATGAGGGAAATGCCCTCAGGAGCAGAGGAGATGCCTCCCATTGCTCCATCCCACCCAGCAGACACCCACCCGTTCCCCAGGGAAGGCGATGTCAGGATTGGAGACAGCGGCGATCTTCGCGAGGGCATGGGCTGCCTTCACCTTGCCCACGTCTGTGCCCTCCAAAGCCAGGGGAATCAGGGCCTGCAAGAAAGGGCAAGGTCATGCCTCAGTCACAGACCATCCACCGGCTTCTCTCCCCATGTTCCCTTTCCAGGTGTTTGTCTGTCTGTCCATCAGAGGTTCAGGAAGACTATGTGAGCATCACATAGCTATATCAGCTCTTGAGCATCATAGAAAACAATTTCATTCTTAATCATGGATTTGGTCCCCCTGGTTCCCAGCGCACATGGAGGTCTACCTCCCCATCCCCTCCCCATCCACACATTTGCTCTGCTTTGGGAAAAATAGATTGATACCCTAATTTTTTTAGTTTCTGCCCAAGTTAACCCTAATCAAAATAGCAGTCATTTAATGACATTTAAAGAGTGCCTTGTATGAGCCAATGCTTTCATCCGTGTGACATTCTGCAAAGTCAGTTGTGATTCTGCCTCTGGCCAAGCCCCATTTTACAGAAGAGGAAACTATAGCTCAGAGAGGTCAAGTAATTTGCCCATGGTTACACAGCTAAAGAGGGGGAAGAGCAAGTACTCAACGGCTAGTCTACAGCAACATTCACAGTCTGTATTTGCACCAACATCAAATGAGGCATCATTTGATGCCTGACATCATAAAATGAGGCAGAAATTGGTTTGGACCTGTGAACACAGACAGCACAGATGCTTGAATGACCATAACCCAGGTGGCTAGGACATGGCACAGGGTAGTGTTCTTGGGTTGGACAGAGGGGGTACATGCACATGTGTGCACCCTCCACAGACACATGTGTGTGCTCCTCCCCCAGGGGGCATCTTCTAGGATGGCAAGACCTTATCCCACCATTACCTTGCCACCACCTTGAGCCACAATGGTGCCTCGGTCTCTCGGGTTGTCACACAGTGCCAGGAATACCCTGCAGGGCAAGATAAAGAACTCTGAATGCGCCAGCACACCCTCCCCAGAACAAGCACAACAGTCATCAGACCCCTGATAAGTGCGACCAGTGTGTGCGCCCCAGAATTAGCCACCTTGGGAGGATACTGCCATAGCATGGCAGCTGGGGATGAAGAGGCCAAGTGAGTTTTATTTAGGGAGACAACAAATGGCTCCTCACTGCCTACCATCTAAGAGAAACTCTTAAACATGAGGCACCCCAGGACCTCCATGATCTGCCCATTGCCTCTTCTCTGGTCTCATCTAGCATCACTTTTCTGTGCATTCTACACTCCAGAAATATTATGGGACAAGCCCCCATTTGCTATTCTCCCTCCATCCTCAGTGTCTTTGCAAATGCTGTTCCCTCTGCCAGGAGCCCTTCCCTCCCCTGCATTTGGGTGGCTCCTTTACTTCCTTCAGGGCTTTGGTAAGTTGTCCAGGAAGCCTTCCTGGATGCCTACTCACCCACCTTCCTGGCTGGTTAGGTCCCACTGCTTGTGCTCTCACCAACCCTCTGTATTTTCCCCATCATAGGACCCATAGGGCTGCATTGTAACTCTGAATCTGCTGCCCCCATTAGGCTGCAAAGAACCTGTACCTTTCATTTGTGGAACAGCAGGTCCTGTACAGGACCTGGGAACCAGTGAACCAATACAGACAATGACCTCTTCCCCCCACCCCATACAAACTTCCACCTGAGATGACCTGCCCACTACAACACTTTTCAATATTGATCCCCATCAGCCTCCTCTCCAGGCTGGCTCCCCAACAGCTCATTCCCTCATTTACTCCACCACCCTTTCTATCCCTCACCCCAGCCCTGCCCACTGCCACTGCACCTGGCCAGCAGCTCTTTGGTCTGGTTGGTGAGGATGGCACTGTCCGCCTTCACCATGCAGGCCAGCACAGAGATGACGCCGGTCTTCAGGAGTCGCTTCACCCGCATGTCTATAAAGTCCTTCTTGTCCTGGGAGATGAAAGGTGGCAATGGCGAAGGGAGCGGACACCCATCTGCACTGGAACTCAAGATGGTGCATTTCTGAATTCTTGTGGTGGACTGAATAGTGTCCCAAATGTGTCCACATCCCAACCCCTGGATCATGTCACCTCGCACGTGCAAAAGAGACTTTGCAGTTATGATTAAGTTAAGGGTTTTCAGACAGGAGATAATCCTGGATTATCCTTGTGAGTCCTCTATAAAGCAAGAGGGTCAGACTTAGTAGTGGAAGCAACAACAACACCAAGAAGTTAGAGATATTCCAGGGCACAAGCCAAGGAACGTGGCCTTTGGAATCTGAAAAGGATGAGGAGATACTGTCCCTTCACAACCTCCAGCAGGAAGTAGCCCTGTTGATACCTTGACTTTGGCCCAGGGAGACTGATTTTAGAGTTTGGATCTCCAGAACTGGAAGGTAATACATGTGTGTAGTTTTAGGCCATTGAGTGTGTGACAATTTGTTACAGCAGCAACAGGAAACTACTCCTCCGGCCCAGGGGGTGTAGGTGCCTCCTCTGTTAGACTACCTACAACTTCCTTCTTGCCCTCCCCACTCCTAATCAGAGCCACAGCAGCTGATATGGTAAGAGAATTAATCTCAAAGATCACAGAGGAGTGAAAGAAAAAGATGAACCAAAACATCAAATGACCCATATATTACATTTCTTGCAAAAGGCTGGCTTTTCACTAGTGCACGCTTGCCAAGGGAGAATAGGCAGATGTAGGCAGGAATTAGAAGGGGCAGGGAGCAGCTAAAGCCAACAGAACAATGAATTTGGTTTTTGCTGGAAACCCAAAGTTAGCCCCAGGGTTGACAGATATTCCTTGGAGTGACTGGGAACAGGCTGACTGTCAAATGCAAACTCTACAAGCTACATTTGGACTTTATAGCAGTAGTAGGTTATACAGCCTTGCCAGCAGGAAATAGGCAGCTTTTACAAATGATGCCACAAAAGGTAAACCATTATACTGTATATCTATAGTGGATACAAAGTTATATGTCAATTGTCTAAATAATAAATAAATATTTAGAGACTGACAAAGCAAGATGGAAAACACATAAAGCATTTCCCCAAAATTGAGCACAAAATGTTAACTATATCTTGATTAAAACTATGAAAAGAGGGCCTCCCTGGTGGCAAAGGGGTTAAAGACAGCACTACGAAGCTATAGCCATCCACTGAAGCACAAGTTCAATCCCCAGCCAGGGAGAAACCCACATGGCTCAGCAGAACTCTTCTGCCTCGCCCACTGCTCCCCTCAGCAGTGTATTTCAGTACATCTGCCTGTTCTGCTCCCCACTTTCTCTGGTGAATCCTCTCAGCCCACACACCTCTGGCCTGTACCCCATTTCTTGTATGCATAAATAATCTTAAAAAAAAAAAACTATGAAAAGAGGGCCTCCTTGGTGGCACAAGGGGTTAAGTCACAGCACTATGAAGCTATCGGCAGCCACTGCGGCATGAGTTCAATCCCCAGCCAGGGAGCTGACCCACATGTCACAGTAGACCTCTCTTGTCTTGTCTCACCAGCTACTCCCCTCAGCAGTGTATTTCAGTAGATCCACCTGTTCTGCTCCCTACTCTGTCTCTGGTGAATCCTCTCACCCCCCATACTTCTGGCCTACACCAGTTCTTGTATATGTAAATAAATAAATCTTTTTTAAAAAATAGCAAAATGTTTATCATGGTCATGAGGAAATGATATAATTGCAATAGACTTTTTTTCCTCTACTGTCCAGCTTCTTGCTTACTTTGCAAGATGATAATATTGCTTTGATCATTTGGAAAAACTGACTGCCTTAGTGAATGGAAGTATGATCATATATTCACATGCAAATCCAGACAAAAGTGTACACTTGCTGCAGGGAATCACTGGGGAGGGCCCCAGAGGGATTTGTTTCATCTGGGGTAATGCTCACCCACGTCCCTCCTCTCATTATTCCACTTAGGACCCATATCCCAGAATCCAGATATCCCAGGAAAAAAAAGTGAATATTAAAATTACACATGTTGATTCTCAAGGACTTGCTTCTGAAACTTATATAATGCAATTGTTAGAATGCAAGTTTACTTCAAAAAAAATGAAGTGTTTTCAAGTGTTGGAAACATAAAATACAACTGTCTGGCACCCATGAAATCAACATTAATTGCAGAACATTCACTTGTTTTCTCAGACAACAAATTGTTCTATTTTCTATCCCAAAATAGAGAATTAAAACTAAGAAAATACCTGAGCACCTCCTGCTGGAGGTGCTCGTATCTGTAGTTCATACCTTAGCTAAGCCTCCTAATCACACACATTCTACATCCAGCCAGCCTTAATTTTTCCATTCTGCCCCTCTGGCGGGCTGGTGGTACAGGCCCCCCACCCCTGGCAGGCCCTGTCCCCACCTTGGGGTGCTCCTCGGGCACGTGCTGCTTGGAGAACTTGGCAAGCTGCACCAGCTCGGGGATGACCTCCTTGACATCATAACTGTTGGTGCAGTTCACCAGGGTAGTGGCCACTGAGTACAGGATGGTCTTGTCAGCGGTCTGGGAGTACAGGGTAGAAAGGAGAGGTACCGAAAAGTGAGGAAAGGTGGAAATATTAGGACAAATCTCTGCTTCTAAAATAGTCCCATACATGGTAGGAAGTTGGTTTGGAGGAATGTGGCTGGTGGGACTCAGCTTGGAGGAGGACTTGGGCCCAGACAAAAAGGAACTGGCTCTGTTCACAAAGGTGGCAGCCCGGAGAGTAGGAATGGGGGTCCTCTTGGTGTCCCCCTTGCTTTGAGCCTCTTTCAAAAGTTCAGTCCAGGCCTCCCTGGTGGCACAGTGGGTTGAGCACAGCACTGCGAAGCTGTCCACAGCCTCTGCAGCGCGGGTTTGATTCCCAGCTGGCCAGGGAGATACCCACATGGCGCAGCAGACCTCTCCTGTCTCGCCCGCTGCTCCCCTCAGCAGTGTTTTCGGTTCATCTGCCTGTTCTGCTTCCCACTCTGTCTCTAGTGAATTCTCTTACTCCCCGTACCTCTGGACGCATACTCCCCGTACCTCTTGTATGCATAAATAAATAAATCTTTAAAAAAATAAGTCCAGTCCAATTCACTTTCCCATCAGACTGGAGTGACCTGGGGTTGGGTCTGGCCTGGTGGAAACTCCTTCCTATAGTTCCTCCCTTTAGTGGTGGGGAAGAGCAGGAGGTTGAACAGGGGGCTGGCACAGCAGAGGAGGAAAGTCTGAGAGGAGGTCAGTTCGGGAGGGGTCCAGAAGAGGGAGGTAGTGCCTCTGGGTCCCTCAAGACCTCATTTCCTGAGGATCCCAGGAAAAAATATCATCCTCCAGGTCCTCTCTGTGCCCAGAAGTTATAAGGAGCTAAGGGGAGTTCGGGAACCAGCACAAGGACACACAGGGCCAATTTCCCAGGCTCGGTGGAAGGCCAAATTCCAGTGGCCCTTTCTGCAGAGCAGAGGCGAGGCCCACACTTGCCTTAGCCAGCTCAAACATGGCCTGCAGGGCAGGGATGTCCTGAACAAAGTCGTCCTTCACGTCAGCATCCAGCGTGAGGTAGGCTAAGCCCTCCACTGCCCATCGCCGGGTACGGGTGTCAATAGACGCGTTGCACAGCCACCTGGACATGGGGAAGGAGAGGCGCGGGGGCCGCATCAGGCTCAGGTCAAGAGAGTGAAGCCAAGGGTTGCAATTGTATGAGGAACATAAAAATAAAATTGATTATTTAAAAAAAAAAAAAAGAGTGAAGCCATTCCAGGGTAGGGGAGGTAGCAGGAGAGAAACCTTCCACCACCTTGCAGCCTTGAGGGTGCAGCCCAGAGGAGATGGAAGGCCTGCTGGGATATAGGACCTCTTACTTGCGACACTGTTTGGCCAGCTTCTCTGTTGACCCTTCAGCAAACTGCCTGAGGCCGTAGTCTGTGCCACCCGCAGAGCCCAGCTTACAGAGTCCCTGTGGAAAGAGATGGGCACACTTGCAGGATCAGCCACAAGGCATGGCTCAAACAGGTCCTGGTGAGTGGAACACTTTGTTCCTTTTTCTTTTCCTGGAAAATCCTCTATGCATGCTACAAAACTCAGCTCAGGTGTCACCTCTTCCAAGATGCCTTCCCTGAGGCTTCCAGGTTAGGGTAGATGCCTACAGGGCAGGAGATTTGTGCCCTGCTCTTTCCCCCCACCCTTCTGAACCCACAAATGTTTTTGCCTGCCATTCTGAAAAATCAGCACAAGATAACATTAATTATATCTGCAACTGCAAAAAAAAACAAAAAACAAAAAAAAAACTTGTTATAGCAAAAAATTGGTGGAGAAATCACAGCTTGTGGGTAACAAATTTGGATGTGCAGAATTTTACCCAAGAAAAACTGGACCCTTGTTAGGAAAAAAATATCTTTCATAAGAGAAAACTCACAATGACAGAAGGTAAAATTAGTTTCTAAAAGTTTGATATGAATAAAAAGCAGATCAGTGTCTCAGATCTTCACTGTAGCTACTTATAAGGAAAAGATCAATGAAAAATAATTCCTGTAAAATGAAAATGGGGAAAAAATGAGACAGATTTGACAGAGTCATACACAAATTGATTAACAAACTGGGGCTTCCCTAGTGGCTCAAGGGGTTAAGACGCAACCTATGAAGCTATCTGCAGCCACAGCAGCACGAGTTCGATCCCCGGTGAGGGAGATACCCACATCCTGTCTCACCCACTGCTCCCCTCAGCAGTGTTTTCAGTCAATCCACCTGTTCTGTTCCCCACTCTTGTCTCTGGTGAATCCTCTCACCTCCCACAACTATGGCTTGTACCCCAGTTGTTGTATGTATAAATAAATCTTTAAAAAAAAAAAAAAGAAACTGACTTTTTGAAGTTTTTTTTTTTTTTTAAAGATTTATTTATTTATTTATGCAAGCACTGGGTATAGTCAGAGGCGCGGGAGGGTGAGAGAATTCACCAGAGCCAGAGCGGGGAGCAGAGCAGGCAGAAGGACAGAAGTACACTGCTGAGGGGAGCAGTGGGCAGCTTCGCAACCCAACGCTCAACTGCTGCGCCACTGGGGAGGCCCCGACTTTTTGAAGTTTTATCTGAAAACACTTGTTGGACAAAAATTTAATCAGTGTTAATGTCATTCAAGGTGAACGCCATTAGGACTAAACAGTAAGTCCATCATCCTGACTACGTTCTTGCAGCTCCCTGCTTATCACCCTCTCTGCAGGGGTCTGTGGAAGGTTCTGGATGCCCCCAAGAGTGTGGTGTCCCCCTCCTTGCAGACTGTCCATCCTGGTGTCCCCAATGCCTGGCACCGTTTCTAAGCCCCGGCCTACTCACCACCAGTGTGCGGATCTTGATCTTCTCATTTTTGGTGGTCTTGTAAATCTCTTTGAGCAGTGACACGCCATTGGTGATGATGAAGGTGGCACGGCTGAGCTTGGTGGAGGCGTGGATGAGGGCTTCCACGGCCACCAGCTGGTCTGCCTCCCGGTCGGAGCCACAGAGCGCTACCATCATCTCCATCACACCCTTCAGCCCCAGCAGCTGGTTGCCCAAGTCAAAGGGGCCCTGCAGGATCCCTGACACCGTCTGTATGGCAATCACATTCTTGTCCATGTCCTGGGGGTCAAACTTGCCTCTGAAACAGAGGGTAAGCATGATCGAGAGAATCAACCAGGCTGAAAGGGGGAAGAGTAAAAAGTGTGAGAATTGGGGGCCTCCCTGGTGGCTCAAGGGGTTAAGAAATAGCCTATGAAACTATCCGCAGCCACTGCAGCATGAGTTTGAGTCCAGCCAGGAAGCAACCCACATGGTGCAGCAGACCTCTCCTGACTCTTCCACTGCTCCCCTCAGCAGTGTATTTCAGTCAGTCTGCCTGTTCTGTCCCTGGTGAATCCTCTCACCCCTGCACCTCTGGCCTGTACCCTAGTTCTTGTAGGCATAAATAAATATTTTTTTAAAAAAAGTGTGAGAATTGGAAGCAGACAGATTAGAATTTGTATCCTGGATGCATAGCCCATGTGCTGTGTTATCTTGGGCAATTCACTGAACCTTGGCTTCTTGATCTGGAAACCGAGAAGCATATGATTACTTCTCAGAGTCACAGCGAGGATAAAGGATACATGATATAACAGATGTGCTGGGGTGATGTTCCCCAAGAAGCACAATCTGAGATAGGGGTTGACAAGCAAGAAGTTTATTAGGAAGAGCTCATGGGAGCCATAGCTGATAGAGAAGGGGAGAAGCAAGATAGGGCGTGGGAGGCGCTGGGCTGCAACACAGTCACATAAAGCCTCAGCCTGCCGAAAATTCTAGAGTTAGAAAATTCTATGTTGGGGCAAAAGACAAGCCAGAACCACCCAGCCAGTTTACTTCCAAGTTCCTGTCACATCGCACTGTGACAGGAAATGATTATTGTTTTAAGCTGCTAGAATTTGTAAACGTGTCACATGACACCAATACCCAACACAGGCACGGGCCCTGGGGGCTGCCCTGGAGCTCACATGATGTACTCCTCGCAGATTTTGCGGAAGTGATCGCGCTCCGGGTCACAGCGCAAGTCATCGTACAGCTTGTTGATGAGGATGGAGGCCAGCATGCGGGTGTTGTCGGTCAGGGGCAGGCAGGATGGCAGGTCCGGAACCTGCCCCACCACCTTCAAGATCTTCCTCAGGCCTGCAGAATCGGAAGTGTAAGGGCCCTGCTGGACTCTCCTCACAAACACCCCACGCTGGTCATAGATTATCACCAGCTTCTCTCCAGCCTGCCGTGAGTCCATGCATGGCTTATCCGGAGTCACAGCAACAGAATGGGCAAGAGACACAGTTTCTACCCTGACCCTTCCCATGTGGACAGCTCACCTCCACCGTGGACCTCTATTTTCATGTTTTTGATCTCAGAGACTCTACCAGTGCTCACATTCTCAGGGATGATGTATTATCTTCCTCAAATACTCTTTTATATTCTCTTTTCCCCAGGCCTCAGTTTCCTTATTAGAGGCTAATGCCTTTTCCTGGCTTTTCAGCTGGGAATGAAGATTTCTCCAGGACAGGAAGTGTACCCCTTCCCCTCTGTGCTCAGTGCCTAATAGTTTGGTGCCCACGTGGAAGGCTGAGTCTCCCACGCCCTCACCGTTATCCACCACATAGATGGTGCGTGAGTTGTCGTGAATGGCGAGGTCCTTCCTGGGGACGTTCTTATTGAGCAGATTCAGAGCCTGATCTCTGCCCTGGCCAGACACCTTCTTACTGACCAGCATGTCCAGCAGGTGGCTGGTGATCTGCTTCAGGTCCCTCTTGGTGTCTGAGGAAGAAGAGGAGATGGGTGAGGAGTGAGGACTATGGAGTCTCAGATATATAGAGCCAGAAGTAACTAAGGCTTCTAGAAGGACTCTGGAAATATCAAATCCCTTGCTCCCTGGATACTAAATAGAATTTCCCAAAAGAGCATGTTATTGCTTATTCCATCCAAAAAAAAAAAAAAAAGGGAGGGAAATCCCTTAACCACACTTCAGCCTTCAGCCACTCTCAATACTGCCAGGGTCCTTCAGCCACTCAGCACTGCCTTCTACAACTGAATTCCAGCCTTGAACAGCTCTGGTTCTTAGAAAGTCCTTCAGTGATTGGCAGGGATCCAGGAATATGTCATGTCGTTTTAAACAAACTAATCTAACACAATGTTTTCCAAAAAAAAAATTTATATTCCTTACAGACATCTTATCTCCCTCCCACTTTCCCCTGCATTCACGCTGGCAGCCTGGATTCCAGTTTTTGCCTGGGGTGCCAGTTCTCCCCCGCCCATTGCGTCTCTGAAAGGCAAGACAGTCATTTCCTGCTTTTGCCCTATTGGGCCCCTCTGAGACGCAGGATTCTTGTCCTCATTCTAAGTTGAAGCCCACAGGCAGGTAGAAAAGGAAGACTTCAAAAGCATATCATATAAAGGATGGAGGGATGGGGGCTATCTCAGTGGAGAAGGAAAGACATAGGTGGACTTGCTAAGTTGATTTTAGATGAAGGACTGTCGTGAGGATGAGATAACAGATTTATTCTGTGAGGATCCCGAGAGCAGAATGGGGACCATCAGTGGGGGGAAGCTGCCAGAGCTTCCATATAGGAAAATCAATATATGGAAGAATTCTTTAGCAGACATGCCCAAAAGCTCGTTACCTCCCAAGGAAGCTGTGGCCCCCAGTGAATCACACCTCTCAGCATTCGGATACTTGGGGAGTCACTGCCCACACTGGCCCTAGGTTGGTCATGTGTCTTATGGTGCTTAAAAAACATGTGTACATCGGGGCTTTTTGAGAATGCAGCCACCAGGTCACACGGACACACAAACTGCCTCAGAGAGGCTGCAGTATCTCCAGGTAACTGACCGTGATGTTACAAAAGTAAAGTCTGGGGCCTCCCTGGTGGCGCAAGGGGTTAAGATGCAGCCTGTGAAGCTATCTGCAGCCACTGCAGCACGAGTTCAATCCCCGGCCAGGGAGCTACCCACATGACACAGCAGACCTCTCCTGTGTCTCCCGCTGCTCCCCTCAGCAGTGTATGTCAGTATATCTGCCTGTTCTGCTCCCCACTCTGTCTCTGGTGAATCCTCTCACTACCCCACAGCTCTGGCCTGTACCCCAGTTCTTGTATGCATAAATAAATAGTTAAAAAAAAGGAGTAAAGTCAGACTCACACCAAGAACCCCAGAGACTGCCATGCTATCTTCTGTGACTATGAACTTTACTATCTTAGATGCCTCATGGAAGTGGAATCAATATTTGTCCTTCTGTGACTGGCTAATTGCACTGAACACAATGTCATCCAACTTTATGTCTGTTGTAGCATATGGCTGAATTGCCTTCTTTTTCAGGGCTGAGTAATATTCAATTGTGTGTATATATCAGGCCTTGTTTATTCATTCATCCATTTGAAGTTGCTTTTACCTTTTAGCTACCGTAAATAAGGCTGCTCTACTTCTGTCACTTTTATAGTCAGAAAATAAGTAATAATACACAGATAGGGAATGCCCAGTCTGAGGTGATAACTGCCTCTCCTTGTCCTGACCCTCTTGAACCAAAACCGAAACATGGACCTCCCTGGCGGCGCAGGGGTTAAAGACAGCACTATCAAGCTATCACCAGCCACGAGTTTGTTGCCCCCCTGATGGCCAGAGAGCTGACCCACATGGCGTAGCAGACCTCTCCTGCCTCACTTGCTGCTCCCCTCAGCAGTATATGTAATTCAGTCTGCCTGTTCTGCTTCTCACTCACTCTGGTGAATCCTCTCACACACACACACACAACACCCAGCATCTCTGGCCTGTCCCCCAGATCTTGTGTGCATAAAAAAATAAATCTTAAAAAAACAACATATTGAAACATGTCTCCTACCTAGAACCAGGGCCTCCTCCTGGCCTCGATGCTCCCGCTTGTCCTCCCCAGACAGAGAGTCAATGATGGCCTGGAGCAGGTTGCAGACGGCCAGGGATATCTCCTCATTTTCCACAGCCATCAGGCTACAGATTCGGTCTATCCGGACTGCATGGAGAATCGCTGTGGCCTAGACTCCCAGCAAGAACCACCATCAGTTATTGCCCCTCCTTGCCAACTGCCATCTGGCTGGGGAGTAGATGACTCCCAGTTGCGAAATGGGCTCAGACAGTCCATTTCTCATGGGACCCATGCTCTGGGAAGGCCCTTGACACAAGCCAGGCCGCCTTCCAGAGGCTTAGAGCAGCATCCTCCAACACAGCAGTCACGGAGCACTTGCACTGAGGTGGGCCCACTTGGGGGTGTGCTGAGAGCATAAGAAACGCGCTAGATCTTGAAAAGTTAGTATGAAAAATATGACCTATCACAGCCCTTTCTCATAAACCATTTTCAATACCCTTATTTTTGTTTAGGCCCATTTCCAGCTCAAAGGAAAAATGAGAGGAACAATCTGTTGAACCTGAGGTCATACAAACCAGGTTGGCGTGGGTGGGAGGGGGGCACTTTAGAGTTTTTATCAGGATCTCTATGCCAGCCACAGCCCTGCCCTCATGTCACCCTCCAGGTTTTTGGACAGGCAGCCATCTGTGCCAAAAGCCCTCACCCTTGCTCGGTGTCCACTGCACATGCCTGACAGGGTCCGCACTGCAGCCAGTACTAGCTCAGGCCTCTTAGTGTCCATCAGCTGCAGCAGCAGGGCCACTCCATTGTTCTGGAAGATCCTCTCAACCCCCGATTCCTCACGGCCTAGGACAATGAGGTTGTTGGCTGCCTGAAGGAGGAAGGAGACAATAAGGGTCAAGTGAGAGGTCTGGCTGTGGATGCCATAGCCATGAGTCAGTGTGAGGGCTGGACATCGTCCAGGGTTTCAAAACGTCTTCACATTCTTTCACTCTATAATAATTCCCCCATGATCTACTATCCCTGGAAACAAAACCTACAAACAAAATCCAAAGGAAGAAACAAAGTAATGCGCACAAAGACTAACTTGATGAAATGTACTGACCATTAAAGTTGTAAATAAAAAGACCACAGAACAACTTGGAGAAAACATTGGTAAGCAGAATCAGAATCGTAGATTCAATTTGATTGCACTTATGTTTCTCTAAAAGTCTAGAATGGAACGTGAAAAAATGCAATAAATTCAACTAACAAGATGGGATCGTGAGTGAACATTTTCGTATTTCAGAATGACTTTCTGCAACATTTTGAAAAGGAATAAAACATTAAGAGGTCATTGTTTCTCAAGGTTAAAGTTAGAGTGAGGCACCAGACCAGGGTACAACCGCTTAGGGGCACCCAGAACCTCAGTAATTAATGAATTAATACTGAATGCAATATTTTTTAAGTCAAAAAGCAATGCAAAAAGAGATCCACCATGAACAAAATATTGAAAATATAAATAGAGGGCATCCCTGGTGGCCTAGGGGTTAAGGCTCAGTGCTACCACAGCGATGGCCTAAGTTCATCCCCAGCCAGGTTGACCCACATATTGCAGCAGACCTTTCCTTTCTCCCCCACTGCTCCCCTCAGCAGTATAATTCAGTAGATCCACCTGTTCTGCTCCCCACTCTGTCTCCGGTGAGACAGAATCCTCTCTGGCCACCTCTGGTTTACACCCCAGGTCTAAGCAAAAATAAATTAAAAATCTAAAGAAAAAAATAGAGAAAGAGAACAGATCCAACCCTGCCACAAGTACTCTCCTCAATGGTGTCCCTTCTTATAATTTACTTTGTTTTCTAAAAAGCTTAACCTTTGGCCTATTTTCTTCCACCTTTTCTAAGGAGATGCCTCAGGGCTGGACTTCCAGCTAGTATAACAAATCCCAGAGTCCACTGACACGAGCAGGACCTGCAGCAGCAGTTACTTGGCGGGTCCCCACCTCGTCCTCTGCGCGGTTGCCTAGCAGCACTCACCTTCTCCCGCTTATCAGCTTCACTGTTTTCATCCATGAGGATCTCAAACATTGTCTGTACCCTGGAGTCTGTAGAGAACTGCACACGGAGCTGAAGAGAGGGAAGAGAGTGCAGAATGAGGCAGGCGGGGTCCACATCACTTCAGTCAGCTTCATATAAAGTTTATCTCTGTAAATATTAGGGTATCTATTCTACCCCTCCTCCACCACTGTTTTTCACTCAACAAAACTTTACTAAACAACTACTACATGCCAGATGCCATTCAAATTGTTGGGAATAGAATGATGGACAAAATTAAGTCCTTGCCTCATGAAACTTAGAGTCTAATAAAATCTGCCACACCATTTATTCATCACAAGTTTTATTTATTTTTTTTAAGATTTATTCATTTATTTATATAAGCACTGGGTACAGTCAGAAGCACGGAAGGGTGAGAGAATTCACCAGAGCCAGAGCAGGGAGCAGAGCAGGTAGACTGATGAAGCACACTGCTGAGGGGAGCAGCGGGCGCGGCAGGAGAGGTCTGCGCACCATGTGGGACCCTAGCCACTGGCCAGGGATCTAACCGGCGCTGCAGAGGCTGTGGGCAGCTTTGCAGCCCAGCGCTCAACAGCTGTGCCACCAGGGAGGCCCCATCACAAGTTTTAGAAGCCAAGGGATTATCACTCCAATTTTGGAGTCTCATAAACAATTAACTATTAGACAGAAATAGGTCTCCAGTGCCAGAAACTTGAAGCAATTTTCTTTTTTAAAGAGATTTTTTTTAATATATATTTTTATTTATTTATTTATACAAGTACTGGGTACAGTCAGAAGCGCGGGAGGGTGAGAGAATTCACCAGAGCCGGAGCGGGGAGCAGAGCAGGCAGAAGGACCGAGGTACACTGCTGAGGGGAGCAGCGGGCGGCAGGAGAGGTCTGCACGCCATGTGGGACCCTCCTCCAGTGGCCGGGGAGCAGCCAGGGATCGAACCAGCGCTGCAGAGGCTGCGGGCAGCCTCACCACCCAGCGCTCAACTGCTGCGCCACCGGGGAGGCCCAACAATTTTCAATTACTTTTCTAAGACATTCTGTTCAGCAGTCTCACCCCTCACACTCCCACCCCAGTCCCAATCCTCTGAAGCACTCATAAAGTGACTCCACCAGCCCAATCCTCCCCTCTCTCTCCAGCTCCCTCTGGTCTCCCTGCACTCTGTTCTGCTGGTCCACAGTCCCACCTATTTCCACCCTGGGCTCATTTCCTTCCATGGCAGGGAGGGGCCTCATTGGCCGCCTGGACTCCAGTCACTCCTTTGTATTTCCTCAGCCCTGAGTCTGTGCGCTGGATGCTGGGGTCCTACCTTGAGGTTGCCCCAGGCATGCAGGCATGTTGGAGCAAGGGGCTGAGTGGTCATTTACCCTCCTGCTTTTACAAACAGGAAACTAACACCCTCAGAAAATTGGCCCAAGATCTCTCCTCCCCGCTCCATTTTCCCAGAAAAGATTTCACATTCACACCAGTTCCTGTTTCTCCTCTGTTTCCCAGAAACACCCGCCCTTCCTGATTCCTTGGCATCTCATGCTTCTTTGTCCTTCTAGAAGTAGAGGAAGATCATGTTACAGACATACTATGTTACTTTTTTTTTAAACCTCCTTTTTTTAAACCTCCGTGTGGAATTTAAAAGACTCGCTTTCAGTCCTGGTTGCTTGGCCTCAAACAAGCATCGGGGCTTCTCTGATCACTCACAGATGGACACACCTGCCCGGCTGTTCTGTGGCTCCTGCTCTCTCCCTCTCTAGTGTGGACGTAGGACTAGGCCTGCCCTCAAGTCCCACTTTCCTAACTTGTGCCTATAGAAATGGGGAGAGAGAGGGCTCCCTGGTGGCACAAGGGGTTCAGCACCACACTATGAAGCAGTCCGCAGCCTCTGCAGCATGAGTTCGATCTCCGGCCAGCCAGGGAGCAACCCTCATGGTGCAGCAGACCTCTCCTGTCTCACCCGCTGCTCCCCTTAGCAGTGTATTTCAGTCAGTCTGCCTGTTCTGCTCCCCAATTTGTCTCTGGTGAATCCTCTCACCCCCCCACATCTCTGGCCTGTACCCCAGCTCTTGTCTGCATAAATAAATAAATCTTTAAAAAAAAAAAAAAGAAACAGGGAGAGATGGTCAAGGCTTGTGGGCAGGGTCCTGGCTCACCTTCTCCTGGATGCTGGTGTTGAGCCTCCTCAAGGTCTCCTGGAAGTTCTGGTTCCGTGGCTCCAGGGTGGCACATCGCTGCACATCTTTAAAGGCCTGATCCAACTTCCCCAGCTGCTCCAGTGCCTGGCATCGCCGATACAGAGCCTTGATGTCAGAGGAGTTGATGTCGATGGCTGGTGAGGGAGACAGGCAGGGTCTCAAGTTGCTGGGCTGCGGACCATCTTCCTCCCACCTCCATCAACAACTCCAGGACTTCTGTGTCTTCACTGGAGGTCGCCCATTGCACTCTAGACTCTGCCCCAAGTCTCCCCTTGTTAGGGAGAGACTAAGCATCATAGTCTCAAGGTTAGAAAGGAGCCCAAGGGTCATTGCCATCCAACTCCTGATAGTTCACTCTCTGCTACATGATGACCCCTGCCAAGCACTCATGCAGCTGGTGCTTGCAAACCTCCAGGGGTGGGGAACACCCCCTTCTGATGGCAGCCAGGCAGCTGCATCAGAAAGCCCCCATCCTACCTGGTATCTATCTCCCTGTAAATCTGCCCTGTATCCTAAGTCCTGCCCTGGAACCCCCAGATGAAATCCAATCCTTCCTTTTTGTGATGGCCTTTTAGGTGATTGAAGGCAGCTCTCCATACCTACCCCACCTGGGAGTTGACCTCTCTGAGCTAAATATTGCCATTTCCCTCCACTGCTCTTCACAGGGTGTTTCCAGCCCCTCTTCAGGAGGGTTCTCTTCTTTTAGAACTCACTCCAGACTATCCATGTTTCTCCTAAAAGAATGGCAACCAGATCAAAACCCAACATGGGACTACATGGAGAGTTCCCTTCATTCTGCACATTATCTCCCTAAAATGCAGCCCAGAGTTGCCTTCTATTCTGATCATACACTTAAGCCTAAATTCTCAACTCCATGCAGAGGTGCCAGTCTCTCTCCCTCCTAGTACCTCCTCCCTCCCCTCAGGGAATTCCATGCACAGGCTGAAGCCCCTACCCTGGGGAGCTTAAGCAATAGTCCAACTCATAGCATGACAAAAGGAGTTCTGAAAGCATCATTTAAAAAGCTGCCCTAACATATTTAACACTCACAAAGGAGACTTGGGGATGACTTTTCTGGAACTCTTCTATTAACTAAGGATGATGAAGCCTAGGATGGTGCTCACACAGTCTATAATTCCTATGAATATCAAGAGTCTCTTGGACAAAACAGGGATACTATGTGTGTGTGGGGGGAGGACAAAGTGGAGTGGAGGTGGCCTCACCTCTTGAAGCATCTGAAGCTGCTTGAACATAGCTCTCCTGTGAGATGGGGAAATAGGAGAATGTTAATGTGGATCCAGCACACAGAGACCGAGAGTGTTCCCACACGCGGGGAGAGGGCTGGGAGCACCCCTCCCTGGGGATGGAAAAATGGAAAAATGCTTTGCTATCAGCAAACTGGGGTTCAGCTTGGCTCTGCTACTACCTAGAGACCTGGCAAGTTATTGAGCTCTGTGATCCTTGGGCTTCTTACCTGCAAAATGGCCTGGGAAACATGAATACAGCCTGACAGGCTGTTACTAAACTGTCACAAAATAACATATGAAAAGCCCCCAGAGTGATGCCAGTCTCCACTAGGCTAATTCCCATGTGGAGGAATTTCTGCTCTCTGAAGGAGGGGTCAAGAGGTAGATTCAGGAAAGTGATGGGAGCTGCCCTTCTCCAAGTTGGGGGCTCCAGGCCAGAGGGCAGGGACAATGGACCTTGTCTATGAGGAAGGGGGGCTGCCTCCACACCCCTGGAGCCTAGTGCCACCCTCAACCTCCCACCCTGCCAGCTCCCAACCGTTTTCAGGCCGCAGGCTGCCCGGTTCCGGAAAAGCGTAGCCAGCAGGGCCTTGTCCTTGGTCAGCTTCAGAGCCTGGCTGTAGCTCTTTGTCGCTGCTTTGTAGTCCTGGAGCTGGAAATGCCGATTCCCTTCCTCCTTCAGCTGCACCGCTTCCTTCTCAGCCATCTGTCAGGACAAGGACAGTTCTGGCCTCTTACTCCAGGCCCAGCACTGGGCGCCTGGTCTGAGATCTAGAGCTCCAAGCTCTCCTCCCTGGCCCCCACCAGGATGGAAGGTAAGGATTCTACCTAGAATGGACCCATCCCTAACACCCCCACATCCAAAAGTGGGTACAGCATTTGCTTGAAGCGCAGTCTGAGTTGAGAGGCACTCAGAGCCCCGGGTCTGTCCCTCCCTCCACACCCAAGGCTTGAGCTCTTGTTGCAGGCTTTAAAACTTCTCAATTCCTCTCCTCCCTCTTCAGTCCAAGGAACATTCAGCCTGGCTCACTTTCTCAAGAGGATAATGCTCCCCAGTAGGCCGCCTGTCCTGTGGTGTGTCTTCTCTGAAGAACTCAGCCAGCCAGTTTCAGTCCTCTGTCCCAGGCCTACCCAGGAGACTTTATTACCTCTGCCTGCGGCTCCAGACCATATTTGGCCACAGGGGCAGGTGGCCCTGGAGTCTGTCATTGATACTCAGGGCCCTCCCCTTCCCTGTCTGGATGGCCACTGACCTCTACCCAGCACTCTGCTCAAGGGCAGACCTGAGGGCCTGGGATACTCCATACCCCAAAGGATGAGAGAAAGAGGCAGAAGGGATGGGAACCCCCAGACACAGTTATAATGCCCCTTCTCCACCTCTATCCCGGATAAACAACCTCCTCTTCCTCCCCTACCCCTCCCCCCAGCCACTGCTATTTTGGGAGCAGAGTGACAGCTGAGGGGCTGACAGACTTGGACACACTGAGCAGCTGCCCACATCTCAGACCAACTGGAGACTTCCAGAAGCCCTCAGGAGGGCGGAGAGAAGGAAGCAGAGAGGAACCTTCCAGCCCCTCTCCCATGGGTCCAAAGCTCCCCTCCCCCTTAATTGTTGAAAGTGTCCTTTTTCAGAAGACCATTGGACTTGCTGACTCAGTTTAGTGCTCTCCTGGTCATTATTTTCTTTTTAAGATTTATTTATTTATGCATACAAGAGCTGTGGTGCAGGCCAGAGACCGAGTGGGGAACAGAACAGGCAGTCTGACCGAAATACGCTGCTGAGGGGAGCAGCAGGCGAGACAGGAGAGGTCTGCTTCGCCATGTGGGTTTCTATCTGGCCTGCCGGGGATGGAACTCCTGCTGCAGAGGTTCCGGATTGCTTCATAGTGTGGTGCTTAACCCCTTGCGCCACCAGGGAGGCCATGGTCATGGGGTGTTAGGCCAGAGGTGGGGGGGCGGTGAGAGGACCCAGGAGCAGAGCAGGCAGGACAACTGAAATATACTGTTGTGGGGAGCAGCAGGCAAGACAGGAGGGGTCTGCTGTGCCATGTGGGTCAGCTCCCTGGCTGGGGATCCAACCCCAGCATTGAGACTTAACCCCTAGGCCACCAGGGAGGCCTATTATTATTATTATTATTATTATTGCTTTACAGTGTTGAAAACTAGGAGAATGTTTTGCTTTTGTACTTATTAAGTATTCATTGATTTGAGGCAGTACATTCTGCCCTCAACCCAGTAGGTTCTGGCTTTGGAAGCGACTCCCTGCAGGGACACCACTGCCTGGAATCCAGCTTTCAGTCTTTTGCTGTTTCCCACCTTGGTGAGCTTGGAAAATCAATTACCGCCTCAGGGTCTTGAATTCTTCCTCGATAAAATGGGACAAGGATCCCTGTTCTGGGGCCTCCCTGGTGGCGCAAAGGATTAAGCACCGCACTATGAAGCAATCTGCAGCCTCTGCAGCAAGAGTTCGATCCCCAGCCTGCCAGGGAGCAACCCACACGGTGAGGCAGACCCCTCCGGACTCCCCCGCTGCTCCCCTCAGCAGTGTGTTTCAGTCAGTCCGCCTGTTCTGTTCCCCACTCTGTCTCTGGTGGATCCTCTCACCCCCTACATCTCTGGCCTGTACCCCAGCTCTTGTATGCATAAATAAATAAATCTTTGAAAAAAGAAAAGAAGGAATCCCTGTTCTGAAGAGACAAAAGCTACTGGTATCTTGTACGGCGTTGGGAGGGGCTGAAAGCGAGGTAGCGACAGTCCAAGGGAGGCGGAACCCCGCGGCCTTCCCGCGCTGGGGGCCGGGGCCGGGACACTTCCCCTCCGCAACGCCAGAGGGCGACGCCGCGGGCCGCGGCCCCGCACGGACCCGGGGGCGGCGCTCGTCCCCGAGTCTCCCTCCTCCTCCACGTGGGGACGCAGGATGGCCGCGGCGGCGGTGGGTGTGCGTGAGTGGGGGCGGGGGCGCCGCGGCTGGGCGCTCGGGCGCGGGGTCCCCGAGGCAGGGGAGGCGGCAGCGGGGTCCTCCCGCCGGGCGGCGAGGCTGATGCCCGCCTCGCTTCCCGGCGCAGGAAGAGACGGCGGCGCACGACGTGCAGCGGCTGCTGGTGCAGTTCCAGGATGAGGGCGGGCAGCTGCTGGGCGCCCCCTTTGATGTGCCCGTGGACATCACCCCGGACAAGCTGCAGCTCGTGTGCAACGCGCTGCTGGCCCAGGTAGGCGGTGGGCACGGCGGCGCCGCCCGCGTGGGGCCCCCAGGCGGTCGGGAGCCGGAAGGGGTCAGGGGCCCCCCACTGCTCGCGGACGGTGGGCGAGAGACCCGGGGCGCCTTGGTCGCGGGGCCCCCTCCCTCGGGGCTTTTAGCGCCAACCATCCGGCCGGTCCCCCTCGGGAATGGGCTCGCGTTTTGGACACAGTGGGTGAGTTGTCAAGTTCCTTGCCATAGCCCTTCATTCATAACCCCCATTTTGCTAAACCCCTCTCTTACTTTACAAGCCAGCGTTTTAAAAGTGCTGCCCTCTATTTGATGGGTGATGGTGTTTATTAAAAATGCAACGCTGGACCCCGCCCCAGACTCGGCTACACCACGGCGGAGAGGGTGTGAATCAAAAAGTTCTGTATTTTCAACTAGCTTTTTTGGATGCTTCTTATGCTTTAGTACAAGATGGTGTGGTGGTTTAGAAAACATTGCTTCTATTAACCGTAATCCAGGACTTTGATTTTCTTTTTGAGGAACACTAAAAAAGGTGAATTAACCATTAGCAATAAATAGAGCTTTGGGCTCATTACTTAGTTATTGTTTTTTCTTGATGAAGTAGGAACATTGATGCCTACCTCTTGGGGATGTTGTGGGAGGCAGATAAAGGATTTTAAAGTGCAGTGTAAGCATCCTACAGTTGCTGCTTGCGGTGGAAAAGATGTTGCTCGAAAGGGGAATAATGGAGGTGTTCCAAGCCGGGTGACTGAAAAAAAAAAAAAAGGACGCTCCACCCTGCAGAAGCAATCCCTTTCCATCCATTGATGAGGGAACTTGCCCTTTGCCACTGCCCTGCAGGAGGATCCCCTGCCACTGGCTTTCTATGTCCACGATGCTGAGATCATCTCCTCACTGGAGAGGACGCTGGAGTCACAGGCAGTGGAGACAGAGAAGGTTCTCGACATCATCTACCAGCCACAAGCTATCTTCAGGGTCCGAGCTGTGACCCGCTGCACCAGCTCCTTGGAAGGTCACAGCGAGGCAGTCATTTCTGTGGCTTTCAGCCCCACAGGAAAGTAAGGACAGTTGCAGAACTGCAGAGGAGAGTGTGGCTGGGGTGGGGAGGGTACCCCCAAGATTGTGTCAATAGGGTCCTTTTTTTTTTTTTTTTTTAAGATTTATTTATTTATTTATTCAAGCACTGGGTACAGTCAGAAGCGCGGGAGGGTGAGAGAATTCACCAGAGCCAGAGCGGGGAGCAGAGCAGGCAGAAGGACTGAAGTACACTGCTGAGGGGAGCAGCGGGCGGCAGGAGAGGTCTGCGCGCCATGCGGGACTCTCCTCTGGTGGCCGGAGAGCAGCCGGGGATCGAACTGGCACTGCAGAGGCTGCGGGCAGCTTTGCAACCCAGCGCTCAACCACTGCGCCACCGGGGAGGCCCAGTAGGGTCTTGGTCTGCCTATCTTAGACTCAAGCTCTGGGCTCAGGTTGCAAGGATAGGACTTCCCCAGTGAGACTTGGTCCCCAGAAGCTGAGGACACCCGCTTGGAAGAGCCTTTCTGGACTGACTCTCAGGAGATCTGATCCATACACTCACTTGAACTCTTCCTAGCTATTGATGTGGGCTAGACACTTAACTTTCTGAGTTAATTCTTCCTCTGTGAAACCGGGTTATTTGTTTCTCACAATTGTATGAGGGTTATGAGAGGTTTGAAATCTGCTTATTGCTGTGGCCATTCCTTTTAGGAAGAAAGAGTTGAGAAATGGCCTTCGGGGTGTTCTCCCAGATGACATCAGTATTACATTCCAGATACTGTCCAGATACCAGATCCAGTCCAGATACTGTTCACAGAAGTTCCAACAGGCAGCAGAAACACACAGCACCATGTCTTGGGGTGGGCATCACCTGTGGCCCCACTGCAGAGCTCAGATGGCCTCTTTTTTTCCCCAGGTACCTGGCCAGTGGTTCTGGAGACACCACGGTGCGCTTCTGGGATCTCAGCACTGAAACACCGCATTTCACGTGCCAGGGTCTGTATGCAGTTAGTTAAGGGGTCTTGTTGGTTAGTTAAGTGGGTGGATGATTTGCTTAGCCTCTGGAGACACCCAGAGCCGATCCCAACTCCTTAAAATGTAGTTCCCAGGTAGAGACTGTACCCTTGAGTCCAAACCACCACTTGCAAATGAGAAAAGACTGAACCTTAGAGTCAGTGGGCAATTGTGGGGAAGAGCTGCTGGCTGGCAGCAAGGGGAGCCTGGCTTCCACCCGCCCCACACACACAGAAACAGTGCTTTTCACTCATTGAGCATGTATCAGAATCACCCGAAGGCTTGTGAAAATAGCAATTACTAAGTCCCACCCCCCAGATTTCTTGTTTTCATTAAGTATGGGATGGGCCTGGGAATTTGTATTTCAAGTTCCCAGGTGCTGCTGGTCCAGGGACCACTCCTGGAGAATCGCTGTAGGGCACACTAACTGGGTGGCTTTGCGTGTGTAGGATGTGCTCCTTTCTAAGCTTCAATTTTCATCTGGAAAATGGGGGTGATAATTGCTTTACTGCACACCTTACAGCTATTGTGGGAATTACAAGCAATGATTTCTGTGAAAACACTTTAAACTATGTGTTGTGTAAAGAGTTAGAAAGTGGGGGGCCTCCCTGGTGGCCTAGGGGTGAAGACTCAGCGCTATCACTGCAATGGACTGAGTTTGATCCCCAGCCAGGGAGCTAACCCACATGGCACAGCAGATGTCTCCTGTCTCACCCGCTGCTCCCCTCAGTGTATTTCAGTAGATCCACCTGTTCTGTTCCCTACTCTGTTTCTGGTGAATCCCCTCACCCCCTGCACCTCTGGCTTACACCCCAGCTCTTGTGTATTTCAGTAGATCCACCTGTTCTGCTCCCTACTCTGTCTCTGGTGAATCCCCTCACCCCCTGCACCTCTGGCTTACACCCCAGCTCTTGTACACAAAAATAAATAAAATCTTTTAAAAAGTTAGAAAGAGGCAGTATTACCTGTGCAGCAATACGCACAGCTCTTGAGGTGGATCCCCCTTTACCGAGAAAGCCTTGTCTCTCCTCTTGTTGGGGCGCTCATTTATTCAGTAACTAATTAGGAGTTCCTGCACTGTGCCATGCATCACTAATCCCTGGGGAGAAAGATAGAAGGCGTCCCTCCTTTCTCTCCTGCTTTTTAGGGCACAGACACTGGGTACTTAGCATATCCTGGTCCCCAGATGGCAAGAAGCTGGCTTCAGGCTGCAAGAATGGCCAGGTAGATGGTGGTCAGGGACTCTGGGTGCTCTTCCTGGGTGATGGGACAGAATTCATGGGGGTGGGGAGGGGCCAGGGGACCAGGGACAGGTAGGGGACGATTATCTGGTGAGCTTCTATCCTTCAGATTCTCCTCTGGGACCCAAGCACGGGAAAGCAGGTGGGCAGAGCCCTCACAGGCCACAGCAAGTGGATCACAGGCCTGAGCTGGGAGCCCCTCCATGTGTAAGTGACACTCACAGAACTGGGGCACATGGGAGCCAGGAATTCAAGACTGGTATGGGTAAAGGTCTTCCCATGCATTGCTGCTTGGGAGCGGGGCTGAGAATCTCCTAGCAACGAAGCCACTCCTGGGGGTGAGGAGCTTGTCTGGATTGTCCCTGGCCCTTCAGTTGGGAATGGGAGGTACCATGGGAAGACAGAAGTTGACAGGTCAGAAATGAGGTCATACCTCCCTTTCCCCTCCAGGAACCCCGAGTGCCGGTACGTGGCCAGCAGCTCCAAGGACGGGAGCGTGCGGGTCTGGGACACAACGGCGGGCCGCTGTGAGCGCATCCTCACCGGGCACACGCAGTCGGTCACCTGTCTCCTGTGGGGAGGCGACGGGCTTCTCTACTCTGCCTCCCAGGACCGCACTATCAAAGTTTGGCGGGCTCATGACGTAAGAGCTGGGAGAAGCCTACCTGGGGAATCCCAGGTCATGAGATGGCCTGGAAGGAGCTTTGGCCAGTATCTTCTGAGTATGTTCTGGGATCCCTGGTCAGGAGGCATTTCGGGAACAAGGGGTTCTGTGGTTGGTGTCGCCCTGTAGTGGAGGTTCTAGTGTCCATTAGCATGGTCAGGCGCTGGGATGTCCAGCTATGGGCTGCCTGTATGGCTTTATCAGACCTTCCCTGCCAGAGTCCAGCTCCGACCAGGGCAGGGTCCCTGAAGGACGAGATGGCGTCGATGGAATGGAGGGCTGAGGGGAGGGGGAGATGAGGTAGATGAGGTAGTGAGGAGACACTGACACTTGATGAGGGTGCAAGCATCTCCCGCTGATAGCCTCAGCGAGGCTTTATTTACACATCAGAAATTGTTATTTGATCATTACGTCATGCAATCATGATTGATTTTACTTTTACATTGTTTCAGAAATTATTAATGATCATTGACAATGCACAGCCCTTTCTTAATTTTCCTAGTCAATGATTAACTTGGTCACTTGGTTACATTAACTTGGTTACATTATTTCCCTAGGTGATGTATGTTATTCAGAAAACAGTTTCAGAAATTATTAATGATCATTGACAATGCACAGCCCTTTCTTAATTTTCCTAGTCTATGATTAACTTGGTCGCTTGGTTACATTAACTTGGTTACATTATTTCCCTAGGTGATGTATGTTATTCAGAAAATAGAAGCAGGTGCTATACACAGTGTGATTTATGTGGTCAAGCTAGGTAACTAAAACAAGGTTAAGCAGGCATTGGAAAATCAAGGGCGGCTTCCTATTTTCTAAATAGAACCAAGGGGTCCCGGTGCCATGGGAACAGTATGTGGTGTGTTTTTCTCAGACCATTTCGCCTCCCGGGGCACCTCAGGGCCTTCTCTTGTGGGGACTTTTACCATGCTCAGTTCCATCAATTCTATCAAGCGTGGCTTGTTAAAGAACTCAGTGTTACGGGTCTCCCTTGGTGGCGCAGCGGTTGAGCGCTGGGCTGCGAAGCTGCCTGCAGCCTCTGCAGTGTCGGTTCGATCCCTGACTGCTCCCCGGCCACTGGAGGAGGGTCCCACATGGCGCGCAGACCTCTCCTGCCGCCCGCTGCTCCCCTCAGCAGTGTACTTCTTCGTCAGTCTGCCTGTTCTGCTCCCCATTCTAGCTCTGGTGAATTCTCTCACCCTCCCACGCTTCTGACTGTACCCAGTGCTTGTATAAATAAATAAATTAATTTAAAAATAAAAAAAAAAAAAAAAGAACTTAGTGTTACTCATGGTAACTGAATTACAAATTGGAGGACGTGGAGAAATATTGGAAACCGTTTCACTATCAATTGTGTTGGAAGGTACTTTTCTCAAACTACTGAAGTGTGCATTACCGAAACTGGCATTGATGCCAGAACTCATTGTGTTATTCTGAAGCTTATAGAAAATTTCCATGGTTTCAATAACTGCCACAAACAAATGACAGGAAGTAGCAGGAACCAGCTATGGAGTTTTCTGACTTTTCAAAAATCTGCCCCATGCCCGGACCTTTGTCAGATGGCATGAGTAGCGTGGCCCACGCCACTTCCCTATCCCACACTTACCTGGCTGGAGCCCTTTTATCCTGACATCTGTAATGTCCCTTCCATGAAATATGTTTTCAGAGACACCGATCTGGACCTGTGCCCTCATTTTTACAAACCAGGAGAGACTTGATCCCAGAGGGTTTGATTGGATTAAGATCACATTGAGTGATGAGGCCTAGGGTGCTGAGAGCCATGCCACTGTCTTCTGGTACCAATCTAGGGGTGCCAGTCCCCAGGGTGGAGAGTGATGTGTGTGTGTAAGTGACTGACCTCTCTCTTGCTGCCCTAGGGTGTCCTGTGCCGGACTCTGCAAGGCCACGGCCACTGGGTAAACACCATGGCCCTCAGCACTGACTACGCCCTGCGCACGGGGGCCTTTGAGCCAGCTGAGGCCTCGATCAATGCCCAAGATGTCCAAGGGTCCTGTGAGTGAGGAGGAGGCGGGAGGGAGCTGTGTGGCAAAACGCCAGTTCTCTGGGCTTAATGTGCGAGAACCCCACCTTTGCCGCGGGTGGGGAGGGGTATTTGCTGTTCGTGTTGGGTTTTCTAATCAGTCTTGTTGCTCCTTTCCTCCCCCCGCTGGTACCTGGACACAGTGCAGGAGTTGAAGGAGAAAGCTCTAAAACGATACAGCCTCGTGCGGGTGAGTGTGCTGCTGCTGAACCCCAGCCTTGCACTAAAACACACTCGGGCCCCTCCCTTTCAGCCCCAGCTCAGAACATACCTTTTCCCAAAAGTTGTGCTCAGTAGTCTTAGTTTATAATCCTAATGTCTTCATGTGCTAGGATCACTTTCTTTCTTTTGTTTTACTTGCTTATCGTATTCCCAGGGCATGTTTTTATTTAGTTTAAGTAACATATTCACATGTTCTAAGATTCAAAACAAAAAGGTAGATAGTGAGAAATTTCTCATCTCTAACATATATCCATCCATTCCTTCTAGAAGCATTCAGTGCTGCCATCTTTCTCCTTTCAGGGATTTTTTTAATCTATACCTACATGAAATGTGTACTCTATGTAGAGTAGAAATGCATGTGTGTATAAACATGTGAAGTCCTTCCCCCTGTTAACACACCATTCTGTCCTTCGCTTCTCCGTTTAATTATATAAGGCATTGTGCTGTGTACATCAAGTCTCCTTGTGGAGGAGGGAGGGAGTGTCTCCTGGCCCCGGCCTCTGGGCTGGTATTGGTCATAGTGTGTCCAGCTGCCAAGCTCAGGTTCTCCCTGAGACCATGTCCAACACGGTGCACTTTCTCCCTCCCCTAGGGTCAGGGCCCAGAGAGGATGGTGTCTGGCTCAGACGACTTCACCTTATTCCTGTGGTCCCCAGCAGAGGACAAGAAGCCCCTGGCACGGATGACAGGACACCAGGCTCTCATCAACCAGGTGGTCTTTTCCCCTGACTCCCGCATCATCGCCAGCGCCTCCTTTGACAAGTCCATCAAGCTGTGGGACGGCAGGACGGGCAAGTGAGTGGGAGTTTGTGGGGAGAGAGGAGCAGTGCAGTGGCTCTGGAAGGAACTTGGCTCTGCCACTTACGAGCTGTGTGGCCTTGTCAGGTGTCTGAATTTTTTGAACCTCTGTTTCCTCTTCAGTAATGTGCAGGCCCCCTACTTCTCAGCTTGTTAAGATGAAATTAGATATTTAGGACCAGCTGTAAGTGGGCACTGGGAATGCTAGTACATTTCATATCCAAGGAGAGATTCAACCAAGGGCCAAGGATGCAGCCATTAAACACTGAGAAGAACTGGTATAGTGAGATACTAGGCCCCTTGGGGCTAATAAGGTTGGTGGAGAGGCACAGACTTGGGCATGAAGAGAAAAGGAGCAAGGGAAATTCTGGTAGGGTCATTGTGTATCTCCACACAGCAGCCCTTTGAAACTGGTCATTCAGTTCCCTATTAAGATAAGGAAACTGAGTCCAAAAGAAGCCTGTAGACTTGTCCCACTAACCACGGCTAGTCCATCATCACCTGATACTTGCAAGTGGCCCTGGCCCACTGTTCCTATTGCTCCATGCCACCTGTCAACAAACAGCCGTTGTGCTGGGTGGATGGCATACAGATGGGCTAAGCAGATGGCTGCACTGGATTCTAAGATGTGCAAAGTTAAGCAGGTCTGGAGGCCTGGCAGGAGGCAACCCTAGAAGCAACTCATTTAGAGATGTTTTACAAAGTTATAATGACTGTTAATGATGAAATCTGTCCGGGGTGGGGGTCAGGCAGTGAGATTTTGTACAAGTTCCCAGGTAATTCTAACATGCAGCCAAGGTTGAGAACCACTGCTATGGGCATAGAGGATGCTTTGGACATGATTGAAGTTCTAATGTCCATCATCATCTTTCTCTGGCCCAGATACCTGGCGTCCCTGCGTGGTCACGTGGCTGCTGTGTACCAGATCGCCTGGTCAGCCGACAGCCGACTCCTGGTCAGCGGCAGCAGTGACAGCACCCTGAAGGTCTGGGACGTGAAGGCCCAGAAACTGGCCACAGACCTGCCGGGCCATGCAGATGAGGTACAGCCAATCCTTGGGGGTAAAGCAGGGGCGGATTGAAGCCCTCCTCCCCCACCCTCCCTGGCTCACACGCCACTCCTCCTTGGTTTAGGTGTATGCTGTCGACTGGAGTCCAGATGGCCAGAGAGTGGCGAGTGGTGGGAAGGACAAATGCCTCCGGATGTGAGTCTGGGAGCGGGGGTAGTTATGTGCCTGGCTCTCCTGCCCTTAAGTCAGTCATTCTTGGTCACTTTGGGCACAGAATTGTGAGGGCTTTCTGGGTGCCCACATATGCTGAGATGGTGTGTGGAGACGGGCTCTCAGAGAGCAAGTGGGAGGCCTGTGGAAAAGGCAGGGATTATGGGAGAGCCAAGCAGTATGTGGCCATTCTCTCAAGAGTAAGTCCAGTGTGAGGCAGTGGTTCTTTGTTAAAGGCTGGATTTGGGGAGTCCTGAGACCTGGTTCAAATCCTAGTTCTGTCTTTCATTGTACTGTCTTGGTTGACAGTGAACGTTCCTTGTAAACTAAGGAGTTAAACTCACTCTTTCATCAGACAGCCTTGGTGGGCATCCCAGGACCCAGGCCAAGGCAGGAGGTGGATGTCTAGCCTGTGACTTCTAGCTTGTGACTAGTGCAGAGATAGGAGCCAGATTCTTGATGACTGAGGGTGAACCACAGATTCTCTGTAGTGGGCTCCTGGGATTACATGGCAGCCTTCCTTCCTCAAAGTGAGATCCCCAACTTGTCCCTCCCCTTCACAGATGGAGGAGATGAGAAATCCCTCGTTTTCTCTGACCCCACCTGGACTTGGCTGCTGCCAGCTGCCCATCCTGGCGGAGACCAGAGACCAGGGTGGTGACCCTGAGAATGGCCTGCTGTCCTTGGACAGACCCAGCAGAGTCCCTCCCCAGAGCAAGAGGTGGGAGGTCACAAGAGGTTCTCGCTGAGCTCAGTCCTGGCCATCACTCTGTTCCTTGCTGGTGCTGGCAGGGGTGGCTGGTGGCCAGGCAGTCACCAGGCCACTGCTGCTGCCCCTCTTCACCCAGATGTCAGCTCCGTTCAGGATCAGGCCCCAGATTCCATGACCAAATAAATAATTTATATTTTGTGTGTCTTAATGTGTTGTCCTAGAATCCCAGGGCTTACCAAGGACTATGCTAAGTCAGTTTTGTCCAGCCCTGTACTGGACTCAGCCAAAACCACACTGACCAGGAAGTTGTCTTTCTCGCCCCGCCAACCCCCCTGGGGCCAGTGGAGGCTGGGGAGGCTGGCTGGAGCCATGCAGCCGTGGCCAGAGGGTACTCTAAGGTTGTGCCACCTATGTGGCAGGCACTACTCACATGGCTGTTACCACCAGTTAGAATTACACAGTGAGAAATGCAGTTCTACACAGCCTGAGACATCACAGACAGAGCAGCGTCCTTCACATGGACTCTGCCTGTAGGGCTCTCTAGGGAGTGCTTCCTCCCTGGCTTGGTCATGCCTGTAGTGGCTGCAGGGCTCTCACGGTGCAGGGAGGTCCATGACTGTTTGGAGGACTCCTTCTCTAGGTAGGAATGTGGTGACAGGGTAGGTGTTCTGGCAGAAGTAGGTGTGGTGTGCTGTGGGGATTGCTTCTCTGCCCCATGGGGACTCTACCCGGTGAAGGGACTCTCCACCAGGAGAGCCTCAGGCCCTTGACCAAGATCTTGCCCGCCAAGCATCCTGCCTCCACTTTCTCCTGTGCTAAGGCAGATCTACTGAGGTTGAATTCCACACCATCCTTGTAAGGACTGCTCAAGGCCTTCCCATCCTCCCCCATCCCATCTGCTTTCATGGTTTTGCACACCTCTCACCACGGCTCTTGGCTCCTTTGCACCTCTCTGCAAGAGGACCCAAGGGAGGCACCAGCTTGAGAGTTTCTGCTCAGGTGAGCAAGTGTATTGCAGCCTCACGTGACCCTCTCGTAACCCTGCAGCTGTGCCTGGTAGGGTTTTACATCCAACTTCTGATGGGGAAACTGAGCACAGAAAGCCCAAACTGCTCTCACATCCTGAAAGGCAGGATAAATCAGACCCTGTCCCCAGGTGGTGTGGCACTCTGCACCACATCCCTCCAGAGCTCCAGTCCAGTACTCACAGTCTGTGCTCCACCGCCACTGTCCAAAATGCTGTTTTTGGGGCCATAGGTGTCTTTTAGTCTTTTGAGTCCCAGTTTCTTCCCTCAAGGAAAGGGGTGGTGCTGGCAGAACCAGTCAGTAGGTGATGGTAGCATCCCTTTGCCCTGCCACCCTTGCTTTCTGTTTTCCCACCTACCCAGACACTAGAAAGGTGGATGGTAGCCACTGTAGCTGAGGCTATCCACAGCATGAAGCAGAATCTAGGGGTGACCTGCAGTTCTTTAATGAGGGATCTGGACCCAGCCCAGATCTGGGGATGGAGGGGACTGAGCAGCTGTGGGCAGTGGCCAAGTCTGGCCTGACCTGCGTTGTCTACAGGTGAGTGGAACGCCTAGCTAGCTTGGCCCAGCCCAGGAGTGGCATTCCTATAGCAGTAATGCCAGGCCCTGGGCTGGTGGGGTGGTCAGCAGTTCCCTGGCATGGTGCTGGTGGTACATTTCATGGTTCTGGTTCCTGCGGGCTCTGGATCAAAGCTGAAGGTAGGTGAAGGGCTTCCAAGGGCCCCCTCCCCACCTTAGTAGGGAAACAGGTATTCCAGGTCTTCTAACCTCCGCATGTCCTCCAGCCCAAGAGACACAGTCCTCCGCTGGGGTTCCTTGCGCTGCACCGTGATCTGGATGGGGTTATTCTCGGGGAAACTGTTAAAGTCAGTAGCCACGGTTGCAAACTGAAATGAAACAAGAACATCCCTCAGAATTCCTTCCCTCTCCCTCCTTAGTTTGCTAAATGGGATCTTAGCCTTACCATCAGAAACATTTTTCACAAAGGCAGGATTAAATCTGTGTCTGTGCTTGGGCCTCTCCTCCCGCCCCCCTTTGTCCCTCTTTGTCCCCCTATGTTCCCTCCTTTGTCCCCCTTCAGCCTCTTCCCTCTATTTCCTGCCCCGCTCACAACTGGTACTAAGTTGAAGAACCCATTAACCAATGACTTTGGAAGATGAATGTTATACAGATGTTGATGAGTATGTTTGCATATCTCAAACCTCCCAAGAGAGGGCAGGGAAATAAAAGTCGAAGGGGCCTTAGGGTGTTCCCAGCCCCCAGGGGTAACACTTCTCTCCCTCACCCATGGGGCCCCTCTTCTCCCAGGGCTCACTTTGTAGGGCTTGCACCACTTCCCCACCCCAGCTGTATTGACTGCGCGGACAGTGAGGCAGTAACACGTGTTGGGCTTCAGCTCCATCAGCTTGACAGTGGTCCCCAAGATCTTGTTGAAGATCCACGGGCGACTCTTTGCCTTGGGTGGCTCATTGTCATTTTTCCTGGTCACCTCCTGTAACAGGACCTGGTAGAAACTGACTTGCTGCTTGCCCAAGGCATAGGTCCAGGAAATCTAGAAGAGAACCCCCGGCTTCCTTAGACCTGGCCTATCCTCCCCTTACCCATCCCCACTACCCCCATCACAGCATTTGCAACTCTCCTGGGGCAGCCCCACACAAGTCAGTGTGCCTCCAGTCCCTATTTCTTATAAACTGTTAGTTAAGAGGGACCTTAGAGATTTTGTCCACCAGATGGGGATAGGTTCAGAGAGGGCAAGTGGCTTGACCCACGGTCACACAGCAATTAAGTGATAGAGCCAAGATTCAAACAATAGCTCCAGAGCCCATATTATTATACTACAACCAGAGTTGCCAAGCCTGGCCAAGGATCTCAAAGAGTTTTTTTAACACTCAGATTTCTGGCCCTGCTGTTTCCTGTCTGATCTCCCTTTTCCAGTTTCTCCTCCATCATGGCCTACAGTTCTTAAGCTTTGTTGCACATCAGAGTACCCTGGAGGACTTGTTAAAACAGATTGCTGGCCCCTAACCCCACAGTTTCTGATTGAGGTGTGAGAATTTAAATTTCTAACAATTTGTTAAGTGACACTGATATTTGCTAAATGACACTGATTGGACCCACACTCTGAAAAACACTGCTCTAGGCCATCCAACAATGCTGCTTTTGGTTTATCTTCTAAAAATACTATTCAAATTACATCCAGTGCCTATTACAAAGTGTTGGCAAAAGGCCATTCCCTGGTGTCTACCGAAAAATCTAGAACTAGGGCATTGGAAGACCTCAAGAACATGACCCCAAACTTTCCCACTGTCTTCCCCTTCCTGTACTCTAGGACAGTGCTACTCAGCATGTGGTCATCAGTACCACCCCAGACCTTCTAAAGCCAGTAATCTCACTTAACAAGATGACCAGCTTGGCAGGCACATCAAAGTATGAGAAGCCTTGAACCCGGGATTTCCTCCCACACTTTCCCACCAGTGAACCTTTGCTAGTGTCACAAAATGCCTTCCAGCCCTCCCAGCTAGATATGTATACCCAACCATTGTTTCCCAGCTCAAATGTTCCCACAAGACAAGCTTATCTCTGCACTTGGAAGTAATATTTCTTTCCCTCTGAATTCTTGGTGGCACTTGAGCTGGACATTTCCTACATCACTGAGCCCTTTCCAGCTTTCACTGAGTTCTTCATGGACATGGCCTCTCTCCTAAACAATGAACATGAGCACACAGGTGGTAGGGCCCTTCATGCTCCCCACAGAGGTCAGCTCTGTGCCTGACAGGGAGCTACTGGTAAGCCTGTGCCGAATGTAGGGGGTGGGAAACGCACCACAGCCGTGGAATCACTGACGGTGTGTTCACAGATGAAGGGTGCCTCTGGCACATCCATGACCACAGAGGACTCGGAGGGCGTTGAAGAGGTGTCCGTGTCTGCTTCGGGGTTGTCGAGGTCCAGCAGGCCCCCAGGGGCCACTTGGGACTTAGATTGATGGGGGCAGAGGGCCATGTTCCCCTTTTCTGTTTTCTTGGCCAGTGATGAAAGGCTGAGTTTGTTCAGCTCACCCTCCAGCATCCCTGCAAAGAAGCTGCTGTTGGGCTGGGTTACAGCCAATTTGATGGGATTTAACAAGGTGGATGAGATGGGGGAGATGCTGGTGTCGTCGGAGCTGCAATCAGACTCTGCCAATGGCATAGGCTTCCTAGGATGGGAGGGAAAACAGGTGATGAAAGGCCATCCCAGCTCAAGCAGCCCCCAGAGGGCAAGCCTTGGGCCTGACTCAATGGGCCCTGATACTTCTAGAACTCTCAGAAGATCCTTATTACTCTGGTACAGTGCATCCAACCCACCACGGCACTTATTAGTGAAAAATGCACATTTCTGGTCCCCAGCTGGAATAGGACTGGAGAGGCTACGAAAATATCTTTAATAAGATACTTAAGTGATTCTGCTTGGAGGTATTCTAAGAACCACAATCTGAGAAACACTGCTAAAACCTTGTCCACTAAATTGGGGGCATCACCCCAAAGAGATGACTATAATGATCTACTGGGGGGTGGGAAAATATCTAACAGTATCTAAAAGAAAATATTTATTTACTATTCAATATGAAAACTAATTTACTTAGATTTTATAACTTTAAAAATATCAATCTGGGCCTCCCTTGTGGTGCAAGTGATTAAGTCTCAGCATTATGAAGCTATCAGCAGCCACTGCAACAGGAGTTCCATCCCCAACCAGGGAGCTAACCCACATGGTGCAGCAGACCTCTCCTGTCTCGCCTGCTGCTCCCCTCAGCAGTGTATTTCAGTCGTTCTGCCTGTTCTGCTCCCCACTCTGTCTCTGGTGAATCATCTCACCCCCCCTCACCTCTGGCCTGCACCCCAGCTCTTGTGTGCATAAATAAATAAAATAAATATTTTCTAAAAAAACAAAAATATCAATCTACCACATGTAAAATTAACAGTAGGATAGATAAAAATATGATTGGGTGAATGTGCAAAACTTTTTTTTTTTTTTTTAAAGGAGTCATTCTTTTTTTTTTTAAGATTTATTTATTTATACAAGCACTGGGTACAGTCAGAAGCACGGGAGGGTGAGAGAATTCACCAGAGCCAGGGCGGGGAACAGAACAGGCAGACTGACACTGCTGAGGGGAGCAGTGGGTGGCAGGAGAGGTCTGTGCGCCATGTGGGACCCTCCTCCGGTGGCCGGGGAGCAGCCGGGGATCGAACTGGCGCTACAGAGGCTGAGGGCAGCTTCACAGCCCAGCACTTAACCACTGCGCCACCAGGGGAGGCCCGCAAAACTTTTTTTTTTAAATGAACTTTTAAAAAAAATTTTTGCATAAAAGAACTGGGGTATAGGCCAGAGATGCAAGGGGGCGGGAGATAAGAGGATTCACCAGAGACAGTGGGGAGCAGAACAGGCAGATTTACTGAAATACATAGCCGGGGATCAAACTCAGGCTGTAGCAGTGATAGCGCTGAGAATTAACCCCTAGGGAGACCCAGGAGCACTGGTATAGGGAGAGCATTCACAACTCCTTTGAGGACCAAGGTCACACAGGAGTTGACGACAGAGTTGGAGGGAGAGTCAGCTCTCCTATGTGCCACACCTGCCAGTGCTGTGCACCTCCCACCTGCTTCCTACCCCGTCTCCCAGAGTGCTCTAGCCAGGTCCAAAAACTGCCATATACCCTCGGATCCCTTACTGCAGGCCAGCCTCCAGCTTTATGAGTGCTTGATAGGCCAAATTTTTTCCTCTCTTGAGTGCCAACACCACTGACCTCCAGAGAAATGCTGAATGGCACAAACCTCCTATGCTAGCGCTTAGTAGACATCTGGAATAAATGATGGTCCTTTGTAGATTGAAGTGTGAGTATTGATGTCATCCAGATGTCCTAATGAATATATATTTCAGATTTACTTATACAAAACAATGCTGAAGCGGACATAGAAGGCAGCTAGGCACTGGGCAATATGCAGGATATAATATTCTTTCTGATCTCCACAACATCCCTGCTGGGTGGGTGTTTGCCCTTTTGCAAAGGAGGCACTGAGGGTCCCCGATCTTAATTAACATGTCTGCGACTAAGTATCTGAGTGGTAGAACTCAGATTTGAGCTTGGGCTCCTGGCCTGAGACTTTCCCACTATACCATGAAGTTTCCTACAGGCAGTGTGATTTCAGCCATAACTGCTTACTTGCCCTTAGGGAAAGGACACCATATCCCTTTTATATAATCAGGACCAGCTACCTAGTTTGGGGGACCTCTTCTTCAAAAAAATTATTAGGAATTCCAAGTCTGTAACAGCAAAGCATTAAACAGAGCAGAGTTTAGTGTAGGCTTGTATCTGACTGAACAGGTTACACACCCATGAAACTGTTGTGCAGATAATTCCCTTGGTCCATAACCTATACCACCACCCCGTCACTGGCTAACTCACCTTCCTAGGAGGTTTAGCTCAAATATGACCTCCTCCAAGAAGCCTCCCTTAACTACACTCTGACTATACTTCTGGCTTCTCGAGGTGTCCTGTCACAGACTGTGCTGTATTATTCTTAGTCTCACTGCCCCTATACACACTCACCCCAGACTGTGAGCTCCTTGAAGGCAGGTACTATGCTTTCCAGTTTTGCATTCTCAGAACTTAATACTGAGCCAGATATCTTGTAGGTGCTCAAAGAGTTTTATGCAGTGATATAAAGGAAACCCAGAATCACTGAGGAAGAACACTAAAACCACAATCCTAAGGCAGACAGACTATTGAGAGGACATAATTAGGCAGGCAAATGCACCAAAAGGGAGGATTGGGGGACAGGGGCCTAGGGGGGAGTGGCCTGGGTAGGGTGTCTGTGTGGTGGTATGTGGGGTAGTGAGGACTGTTGTTAGACAAAGCAGGGTTAGAATCACAGTTGACAAACCTCTGACTAATCCTGGAAGGCTTCCTGGAGCAGGAGGACTACATGCTCCAAGAACTAACTTGGGTGGGAAATCCATAGTACAACCTGCTCTTTTCTGAGAGTCCAGGGACCAGGTTGTAATAGGTCAAGGAAGCACCACCTCTTCAAGTCCCTCTGCCCACTCCCAGCTGCAGCCTGAGAAAGGAGGAAAGGACCAGACTTGTGTCTTACGGGAGATTGATGGAATCTTCCTCCATGAAGTTAACCAAACTGCCCCTTGCGGAAAGTGGGAGTCCTTTGGTAGTGACGGTCCTGTTCATAGACTTGGGGTTTAGAAAGGGCTTCGGCATTTGCTCGAGTGCATTCAAAATGTGGAGATTTTCTTTTTTCAGCATGGTCTCCTCCCCATCTCCCACTTTAAAAAATGCTTCTGATGTCATCAGGCTTGTTTAGGACCACAACCGTCACCCTGCAGGACAACCAAGCTGACAGAACGAAAGAGAAAACTGGGCGCAGCTGACCCACCCTTAGTTTGGGTGGGATGGGGATGCCATCAGCTGACTTCATAATCATGCCAGAGTGTAACAATTAGGGGCCAGCCTCCCCCCTTGATCTGAGGCTGCAGCTGCCCAGGGATAGTGTGAGGAGCCAGGCGGAGCTCAGGAACAGACTACATCACCCGTAGGCCCTTCTGGGTCTGGGGTTACAGCAGCCCTGCCCTTCTCCGAAGGTCTCAGGACCCTTACCACCTGTGCCTGTGGGAGCTGCTCTGGGGAGAAGGATGGTGAGAGAAAGGTACCAGTGCGTGGAGGCAGGCTGGCAGGGCTAGAATGGGTCTCTGGGAGTGTGATTCTTTGTCTGTAAATGCTGAGGCCCTATACTCAGAAATCCTAGGCGGCAACCCCGTATGTGCAGCGTGTAGGCAGAGCGCACCCAGATAGCTCAAGGAGCTCACAGCTCACATTGATACAGATTTTACAGCTAGAATAGAAAAGTGCCACATCCTTACCCCAGGTGTCTTCATATGTGAGGTGGCAATGGTGGGTCCTGCAGAGGAAAACAAAGATGGGCCATACATGATTTCTGTTCTCAAGGAAGCCACTTTACAGCAGCAAAACATACAACTTCCCGGGACAGCAGGGCAGACTGGGCAGGGGCCTTTTAGGACAGCAGAGCTCTGCACTGAGGTGTGGCTTTATCCACCGTAAGGCCTGCTCTGCATTTACTGCGTGTGCCACTTGGCAATTGACTTCACCCACTGAGCCTCAGTTTCCCCATCTGCGAAATGGGAATATAAATAGCACCTAGCCGATTGGGCTGTGAAGAGAAAACCCTGAAAAATAGTTTCATTTCTTCCAAAGGATGAGGCAAAAAGCAAAGAACATCAAGAGATACCAAATCACATTGCCTGAGTTCTCGAAACTTTTGTTGAAAATGCAGAGAAGTGGCTGGCCTCTCTGTGCTCTGCTGCTTCTTACGCCTCTCGGATAATGGGTCATTTTCTGGATTATTTCACTGTTTTTCTCTAACGGGAGGTACCCCAATTGTTGGGATAGTCCGTGCTGTCCAACTTTCTGGCCAGCGTTTAGAACGGCAGCCGGGAGCCTCAAGGGGCGCGAGCGCGCGACTTCGGGGACAGGGTGGGGATGACTACGGGCGCGGGGTGCCACGGGGTGCCACGGGGTTCTGGTCCCGGGGCCCGCTGGGGTCTCGGCCCAGCCCGCGGGCTAACGCGCGCCCCGCAGATGGCGCTGCAGGCCAGGCCCGGCGCCCGGCAGCCGGAAGGGGCGGCGCGGCCGGGGCGAGCGGGAGGGCGGCCGGGCCTGGGCGCAGGCGGCTGGGGTGCGCGCCCACCGCGCCGCCGCCGCCTCTCGCAGCCGGAAAGGGGCGCCGGGGGGCGTCAGACGAGGGCCCCGCGGATGCCCACCCGACGGGCGGCCCCGGACCGCCGAGAACATGGGCGTGCTCAGGGCCGGGCTGTGCCCCGGCCTCACCCAGGACATGGTCCAGCTTCTGAGCAGCGGCGGGATCAAGACAGGTGACCGCGCGCGCGCCGCACAGCTGGGCACCCGCGGGCGCGGCCTCCACCGCGCAGGCACAGCCGGGAGGGGGCAGTCCCCTCTCTCGGCCGCTCGCGGCACCCCAGCTCCCCCCGAGGAGCCGGAAGGAGCAGTGGGGAGAACCAAGCCCCTTGAAGGGCGGAGCCCCTATGTGGACCCCGCACCTGCCAGGTGCTGCGGCGGTTGTTTCACAAAAGCCTCCTGAGACTACCTCTCCCAGTAGGATTGTTACCCCACTTTACAGCTCAGGCTAAGTGCGGGAAGTCCCCCGGCCTCCCTTCCGGCCAAAGACACGTGTTTTGTTTGCAGTGGTGGACCTGGTTTCTGCAAACCTGGAGGAGGTAGCCCAGAAATGTGGTCTGTCCTACAAGGTGAGCTGGCCGTCTCCACAGTCCGCACCCCCGGTGGCTGGAAATGTCAGTCCCCGAGACCAGGGTAGCAAAGGGTTCCCAGAGATTGCCAAGGGGGGCGGGGCTTACGAGACTCTGGGGTGCCCCCTCCCTTGACGGGTATGGCAGAGCGCTCGGGACTGCTTTGGGTTCAAGTGCGCTTGCCTGACCCTGAATTGCCGCCACCCCTTCGCAGGCTCTGGTGGCCCTGAGGCGGGTGCTGCTGGCTCAGTTCTCAGCTTTCCCCTTCAATGGCGCCGATCTCTATGAGGAACTCAAGATTTCCACGGCCATCCTGTCCACCGGCATTGGAAGGTTAGTGTGTGGACTTGGGGAGGGGGCCGGTCAGGAGGAAGTGGCTGCCTCCAGCTCTGCTGCTGGCGCTTGCATCTGAAGAGAGCAGGGTTTCCAGACAGCAGTAAGGGCAGCACGGAGACAGGGTTTCTCAGCCTTGCTCCTGACATTTCCAGATATGTGTGTATTTATGAGTGGGAGGGGTGGGGGGAGAGCTGTGACTGTCCTGTGCCTCCTAGGATGTTTGGCAACATCCAGGGCCTCTATATTCTCAAGATGCTAGGAGCACCTCTCCTACCTTGTTATGGCAACCAAAAATGACTCCAGACATTACCTAATGGCCCCTTGGGAGCAAAACCACTGTCCTTTTATTTAAGATGTCAGTATCTAATAATTCAGCAGATCAGACCAACTCTTCTCTGGCCCAAACTCCCACTTCACTTAAGCATAGAGCAAGAGAGAACATGGCGGTGTTCTCTGCCATGTAGGCATTTTCTGAGTGCCTACTATGTGCCTGCCATTCATTCTAGGATATATAATCTCATAGGTGACCCTAGGAGTAGTGATTATTAATCCCACATGAGTTTGCCCAAGAAGAGCAAGTGGTAGAAGTGGGGACTGAGGGCTGGGGTGCTGGATCCAGAACTTGGTTCATTACTGGTACTCTGCAGCAGGATGGAGCCAGAGAGCCTCTTAAAGGAATAGTGACATTTTGCCACATTGTTTGGAGAGGGAAAGAGTTGAAAGGCAAGGCAGTTTCTTGCAGAGGGAGTCTGACCTCTTACCTGGACTGTCTGTGTAGAATTTGATGAAGAACTCTGCCACCACAATGGTCTTTCCATTGGTTTGGGCCTTGCTGTTTCCATACCACATTCTCTTGGCAAGATCATGCAGTCATCAAGCACTGGCTGAGTGCTTACTGGGTGCTTAGTGTGAGGTTTGTCCAACAGTCCTCACTAAGTGCCTACTAGATCACAGATGTGTGCAGATGATGACATGTGTACAAGTAAGGCAAGGCTTCTGGGGTCCACTGAACAGAGATAAGAGCAGGTGAACACAGAGAGGAGTAAGCAGGAGTGGAGGCAGCGCAAAGAGAGAATGATTAACAGCAAGGAGATTTGGCCTTCGGGCCTTGGGAGCTTATAAAACCCAAATAGGAAGAGGAAGCATTTAAGGAGCAGTCAAGTTATAAACTGGCAGCATTGCAGCTACAGTGGGTGACTGCAGGGGAGATCAGAGTGGTTCTGGAAAGCTCTGTGAGGGATGCTGGCCTTGGGCATCTAGGAAAGGCGGGGCTTTCTGAGATTGCTTTCCAAGAACCAGGTACCATGCCTGTACCTCATTTCATATATTCTTTTTTTTTAATTTTACATGTTTTTGGTTTTTTTTTTAAGATTTTATTTATTTATACAAGCACTGGGTACAGTCAGAAGCGCGGGAGGGTGAGAGATTTCACCAGAGCCAGAGCGGGGAACAGAACAAGGCAGACCGACGAAGTACACTGCTGAGGGGAGCAGCGGGCGGCAGGAGAGGTCTGCGAACCATGTTGTACCCTCGCCTGGTGGCCGGGGATTGAACCGGTGCTGCAGAGGCTGCGGGCAGCTTTGCAACCCAGCGCTCAACCACTGTGCCACCAGGGAGGCTCTCATTTCATATATTCTTCACAATCACCATGAGGTGATGAGATTTCCTCATGAGGAAACAGTGACTCAGGTTAAAATGACTTGCTCAAGATCACGTACGTGACAGCCCAGGCATTGAAGTCATGTCCGTTCCTCTCCTGAGTTGAGAACTTAGCTCTCTGCCTGCCTCGAGGAAGGCCGTATTGACTGAAAGTAGAGCTTTAGGCAGTGGGGCTGGGGGACAGGCAGGGCTGAGGCCAGGGAAGGCTGTTGCAGTGCTGGTGGTGTGTGAGGGCCTATGTCCTGTGTAAGTGCAGTGACACTGGAGCTGTGTTAAAGATATGCGACTTACCTTCCTACCAGGTGGGATATAGATGTGAAGCATTGGGTAGTTCACTGGGTTTCTAGTCTTCCTCACAGTGTTCTGTGCACAGTTAGTGGGTGTAAGTTTGGAAGACAGGGAGATTCTGTAGTTAGAGGTTTAGGAAATGCTTGGGTAGCTCCAAACAAGCAGACTTCTTTTTTGTAGGCCTTCTTAGGGCCTTCAGTGCCAAAGTGCAGTATAAATCTTTCTGAGGACAAGAAAGCATGTAGTGCGTGCCTTGGAAGAAGCTGTATGGGTGGGGTGGGGTGGGGAAAATAGGTGGTTCTTTATCTCTGTATCCCCTCTTTTAGAATGAAGCCTTCAGGCAATATGAGGCCTTCAGGTAATGTTTGAATGACCAAAAGCCAGTGCAGAGGGAAAGGGAGGATGATAAATCCCAGAAATCACTTGTATTCAAAACAAGTGGTAAAATCCAAGTGCACATCTGCTCTACAAGGCAGGTAGAAGTCTCTCTCCATGTTGACCTGCTGAGTTAGAGGTGATAGGTAAGCCCCTCTAGGAGAGATGGTATGAAAACACAGGTGAGCAAAGTCAGCTGGGAGGTAGATTTGGGAATTTCTTATGCAGAGTGATCCTCATGTCCAAGAACATGGTTGACTCTTCACTGGAGAGTCAAGATCAATGATTTAGTCCATGATATTCATTGGAATCATCGGAAAGTTTAAGAAATATTTGTGCTTGGGCCCCACTTTTAGAAATTGTAATTGGTATCAGTCAATGTTTCCCAAACTTGCTTGCATGTTAGAATCACCTGGGGGACTTTTTTTTTTTTTTAAAGATTTGTTTATTTATTTATACAAGCACTGGATACAGTCAGAAGCGCGGGAGGGTGAGAGAATTCACCAGAGCCAGAGGGGAGAGCAGAGCAGGCAGAAGGACCGAAGTACACTGCTCAGGGGAGCAGCGGGCGGCAGGAGAGGTCTGCATGCCATGTAGGACCCTCGCCCGGCAGCTGGGGATCCAACCGGCACTGCAGAGGCTGCGGGCAGCTTCACAAGCCAGCGCTCAACCACTGCGCCACCAGGGAGGCCCACCTGGGGGACTTTTTAAGCATTCCGAAGCTCAAGTCCCCCACTCCCAACCAATTAAATCGCATTCTCTGGAGGGAGAATGTGGGAGGAAGGAAGAGGGTGGGACACAGGCAGCAGTATTTTTTGAGACTCCCAAGTATTTCCAATATGAAGAGAAAATTGGGCACTGCTGATATAGGTCTCTGTTTTTAAATTCCTCTGGTGGTTTTAAAATGCAGACAGGGTTGAGAATCACTAGTCTAGCCTAATGGTTTTTCAAACTTGAGCAGGGGCCAAATCACCCAGGGGCTTCATTGAAACTCAGATACCATCTCTACCACCAGGGTTTCTGATTCCTCAGGTCTGGGGCAGGGCCAGAAAATTTGCATTTCTAACCATTTCCCAGGTGATGCTGATGCTGCTGGTCTGGTGACCATGTCAGAAGAACACTGCTGTATTGGGGTGAGGGGAGGGGGTATCTCTGACCCCAGTGGGAGGAATAGGATCCAGGAGTAGCAGAAACTGGGTGCTTATTCACCAGGGTGAACACAGTTATCCCAAGAAGCCACAGGACTGCAGTGGTAACAGCATTTTGACTGACGGGGACCCGTGGTCATAATCCTGGAATAATGAAATTGAAAGAAATGAAGTGCTTACTGAGGTGCTACTTAGCATACAGAGGGGGGATGTGTAGTCTTGAAGGACCATGTTAGAGGACTGGTGCCTGTGACAGTGATTAAGGGTTAGGACAGGAGTGGTGTGGTCAAGACACAGGCAGTGTAGGAGGCTACAGTGTAGGAGGAGAAGCTTCAATCCACACGTTGGGCAGGCCATGGAGAGTAGACAGTAGGCAATCACCTGTTTCAGGGCCTAACTGGTCATGACTTAAATTCATCCCAAGCCTTCTACAGGCAGAGTGTTGACAATACAGAAACTAACACACAGTATCGCTCATTTCTCTGGGAACATTTATTGTTAGCCTCCCATGTGTCAGGCACTCTGCCAGTGCTGGGATTATAATAGTGTTGGCCCAGTGCTTGACTCAGGGCACACAGAGCCAAATGGGGGAAAATAGACCAAAACAAGCATATAGAAAATAATTACAAACTCCTAAAATGAGTAAGTGAGTTCAGCAGGGTTGCAGGATGTAAGATCAACACATAAAAATCACTTGCATTTCTATATACTCACAATGAGCATGAGAGAATGGAAATTATAAATATAATACCATTTGCAAAGTGGTAAGTGAAATCCCTAGGCATAAATAGAACAAGGCAAGTATAGGATCTGTATGCCAAATATTTAAAATTTCACCTAAATCATGACTGTGTTCATGACTCAACATAGTAAGAGATGTCACTCTTTCCCAAATTGATCTATAGGTTTAATGCTGTTCCTATCCAAATCCCCGTCCAGGCAGTTTAAAAAATGGGCAGGCTTATTCTAATAACTATTTGGGCTTAGAATAACTAAAACATTTTTTTAAAGATCAAGTTATGCATATAAGAGAGCTTCATAGTACTGACACTTAACCCCTTGCGCCACCAGGGAGGCCCTCCTAAAACAATTTTGTAAAGGAAGGATAAGGTTGGAGGAATTGCTGTACTAAATGTTAAGGCTTGCTGTATAGCTGCAGTAATCAAGACAAGCATGTTATTGATGAAGACACAGATCAATGGAGTAGAATAGAGAACCCAGAAATACTGAATAGAACCTCACAAATATGTCAAACTGATTTTTGACAAATGTGCGAAAGCAGTTGAGCAGAGAAGGGATAGAGCTTTTTTGAACATTTGTTGTGATGAGGAACGGGATCCAGGAGTGGTGGAGCTATTGGACAGGACAGATAATACGTCTAAGCCTAAAATCCATACATCATACAAAATTGAAAATATTTCATGGACTTTCATGTAAAGTGTAAAACTATCAAGATTTTAGAACAAAACAGTAGACAATCTTTGGGACGTAGGGGAAGGCAAAAGATACTAGACTTGACACTGAAAGTATAATCATAAAAAATGCTTCATAAATTTTTTAATAAAAAAATTTAAAACCTTTAGCTTTTTTTAAAAAAAAAATAATAAAACCAAGTCATAGAGTGGAGAAAATATTTTCGAGCCATACATTAAAACAATGAACTTGCATCTGGAATTCATAAAACTCAACAATAAAGCAAGAATCCAATTAGAAAATGGGCAAAAAATTCAAAAGACATTTCACCAGAGAGGACATACAGGGGGCAGATAATCACATGAAAAGATGTTCAATATGCTTATTAGGAAAATGCAAATTAAAACCACAAGAAGATATTACTACATACCTACCAGAATGGCTAAAACAAAAATGGCTATTATCACCAAATGCTGGTAAAGTACTTACACATTGCTAGTGAGAAAGTAACGTGACATAGTCACTAGGAGAAATAGTATTGTAGTTTAGTATACTGGTATATAGTAGTATAGTATGTAGTGTATGGTATACTAGTATACTGGTAGTATAGTATACTGGTTAATAGTGGCTGGTTCATACAATCCAGTAATTGTATTCTTAGACATTTATTCCAGAGAAATGCTTATTCCTACAAAAAAACTGTATACCAGTGTTCATAGCAGCTTTATTCAAAAATCACCCCAAACTGGAAACAACCAAAATATCCTTCCTAGTGAATGGGTAAGCAAGCTGTGGTACATCCTTACCGTGGAATACTACTCAGCAATACAAAGGAAGGAATTATCGATACACACAACTTGTTGATGGACCTTAAGGGAATGATGCTGAGTGATGAAAGAAAGTCACGAAGGTCACCTACAATATGATTCTGTGTAACATACTTGAAATAGTGATCATGGGGCTGAAGACTAGAATGGGGGTTGCCAGAGATTAGGAATGGATGGGGGAGGGGTGTGGCTATAAAAGGATAGTGATGGAAATGTTCTGTATTTTGGTTGTGGCGGTTACATAAGCCTGCACGTGTGATAAAATGATAGAGCTACACAGATACACACAGAAGTAATCCACTTCTGTGGATTGTACTGTAGTGTAATCATCTCATAGTGCAAGATGTTTCCATCAGAGAAAACTCAGGTACGGGGGACCTCCCTGTATGCTTTTTTTTTTGCAATTCCTGACTATAATTATTTCAAAGATAAAGAAAAAATTCAAATTATGAGAAATGCTATCAAGAAAACCCACAAGTGGCTGAGATGGAGAATGGAAGTGTGTCAAAATCCTCTAGAGAGAGGATCTTAAAACTGAGAGTGAGTGGAGGAGGGACAGAGGACATTTAGCCATCCCCTTTTTCCAGAAAGTTCTACCAGCAGAAGCCTCCTGGCCAGAGATGTTGGGAATGTTCTGGGAAGAAGCAGTGCTTGGAAGGAATATCTTGCTTTTCTTCTTGGGTCCTTCTCCTCTCCCATCCAATCCCCTGGGTTTTCTCTTCTCTTCTGCCATCAGCTTGGACAAGCTGCTCGATGCCGGTCTTTATACTGGAGAAGTGACTGAAATTGTAGGAGGCCCAGGAAGCGGCAAAACCCAGGTACCTGTGTGACCAGCAGCCAAGAGGAATGGGGAGGTGGGTGCATAGCCCTGGATTCCTTGGGGGGAGCTTCAGCCAGTGTACTTGTGGGCTCAGGGCGTAAGGAGAAAAGATGGGTGAAGAGGAGCAGGGCTTGCACTTGACCCATTCATGTCCCTGGGACCTGGGCAGGATTTGGTGGGGAGCTCCCATTCTGGGCTCTCTTTGAGGGCTCAAGGTTACCCATTGCCCTGCTTCTACTCAGGTTTGTCTTTGTGTGGCTGCAAATGTGGCTTACAGCCTACAGCAGAATGTCTTGTACATTGATTCTAATGGAGGGCTGACAGCCTGCCGCCTCCTCCAATTACTCCAGGCCCGAACTCCAGATGAGGGGGAGCAGGTAAGAGGCAGCTGGGTTTCTTTGGGGGTCTGACACAGGAAGACTCCATTATCTCTTACACTGTAAGAAATCTGGTCGTTTGGACGAATAGACATTGAAACTTGCACAGCAAGTTCTGTGTTCTTCCAACCACCCCTAGTGTGACATCATAAAAGCACAGTGATTCTTCCAGGAAACCCTCCCAGCTCCTTGCATACCCTGATTCAGGGCTGATAAACACCCAGGGCATTTGTGTTTCTGCCCCATTTCTTGCCCAAGGCAGACATCACTAATCAGCCCTATCACTCTTTCCCACTGTGTTCTTTTCCCACTTGACTTTATAGCTCAGCCACTCGAACTGGCCCATTAGACAAAGCCCATTTGCCATCCTAGACCTGAGTCTTTGTATCTAAGTGCCTCTGCATTCTCAGTCTTAATAACCCTCTTCATGGTGCTTGACCATATTATCCTGCTTCTTCCCACCCCTTCAGGCAGGTGCTCTCCAGAGGATCCAGGTGGTACGTGCATTTGACATCTTCCAGATGTTTGATGTGCTGCAGGACCTCCGAGGTGCTGTGGCCCAGCAGGTGAGCCTGCTGCTCTGCTCATTCCTGCTTTGCCAGCAAGTAAGGTGCTATCAGTATGTGGGCAGGTGTCCTACTACAGTCCGTTTGGAAATGCAGATATGCAATCTAGTGACTCCAGCTGTGCTGGCTACTCCCAGGATGGAATTACTGAGTGCTTAATTCATACACCTCATTGTTTACATGCCCCATTTCCCCACTAAACAGTAAGCCCCATCTGCACAAGGATCATGTCATAATCATCCTGCATTTACCCATTGCATTGGTTATTATTATTTCCAACTGCAAGTAAGAGACTGTCTGATGGACCCTCTATCTCAAGGACATTTAATTATCTCACATGAGCCTGGAGGTTGCCAGACCTACAAAATTGTGACTCTAGGTTGGTGTGTCTAATTCTCTTGCTCTTTTCCCTCGTGATTGCAAAATGGGCACTAAAGCTTGGCATCTGTCTGCACACATCCACATTCACGGCAGTGCAAGACAGATGCCTCTTTCCTGTGCTTCTTCCCTTTCATCAGGAAAAAAAAATTCTCCAAAAACCACTAGTCGACTCTTCTCTTCCCTTATATGTACTTGGCTAAAACTGCAATATGTGTGTATCTTAGACCAGGGGTTGGGCCTGCCCTGCTTGAAGCCGGGAGATTTCCGTGCAATACCTGAGCACACTCAGTGTCTTGTTAACAAGGAAGATCGGTTTGGAATGGCATTTGGGTTGCTACCCTGGTACATCTGCTACATGCTTAGACAGGATTCAGTGTACTGATTTTTGGCCTATTCAATTTGGAAGACACCCTAGAAAGAATAGTTTAACTCATCTTAAGCTTTTCCTCCTCACCCCAAAGCATGACATGGTCCCACAGGCATACTCAGGATTGTGTATAGAGTAAATCATTTTTGCAAACTTTAGAATATAATAGTTGAACCACTACTTGCCATAGGAGTCATCACTGTATATGACCCACTTTTGTGTTGAGACATGAGATCACAAAGGCCAAATCTGAGCTGTTTATTCAGCATTATCTATCTGGCGGACCACCAGATGGTTTATTTTCTATTATTACATAGAAACTTTACCACAAACTTAGTGACTTCAACCCACACATATTTCTTACCTCACCGTGCCTGTGGGTCAGGAGTCTGGGCACAGCTTAGCTGGTTCCTCTGCTCAGGGTTTCATTAGACCATGTCGTCAGCTGGGCTGTGTTCTCATCAGGAGCTTCAGTTGGCACATAATTTGCTGGCAAGTTCACTCAGAATTCTTAGCAGAGTTCATTTCCAAGGGACTTCAGTTTCTTGTTGGCAGTTGGGCAAAGGCCACCTTAGCTCCTAGAGGCTGCCCACTGTTCTTTGCCATATGGCCCAACCCATTGGCTATTCATGGCCTGGCCACTTGCTTCTTAAAGGCAGCAAAGGAGTAAGAGGCTGCAACACACAGCCTCATGGAACATAATGCAGTCATAGGAGTGACACCCTAGTACCTCTGTCATATAATGTCACTTAATCCAGAGCGTGACATTCCAACACTTCTGACATTTTATTAAAAGTCAGAAGCGCATCACAGTACTCATCCCCAGTCAGGGGGAGTGTTTAACTACCTGAGGGTGGGGATAAGGGGTCCACCTTAGGGTAGCTCTGTAGTGACAAGCAGAGAAGGACTTGCTGTCCCATTTTGCCAGAGATTTCACCCTGCTCTCCTAGAGATGGTAAGGAACGGCTAAGCCAATTGGCTTCTCTCTTTTCTGCCATCCTCCCTTAGACAAGCTGATGACTGGCCAATAGTTAGTAACTGGAAGACGTGCAAAAGACAGAGCAAATGGTGCTGAATCTCTAAGAGGGCCTATGTGAAAAGGGAAAAAAGCACTGTGGAAACAATCAGCAAATGATTTGGATATGAGGAATAAGGGAGGAGAGAGAAAAGCATGAAGGATTGATGAAGTCCAGAGAAATTAGGAGGACACTGATGCTGTGTACAGACAACAAATTTTGACTTAAACACGTAGCATCAGAGTTCCTCTTAGGGAAATAACTGATCCTGTTTGGGGCCATTTCAGCTATGGAAGGTGAAGGCCTAGAGACATGATCTAGAAGGAGACAGTGAAGGAAAGAAGTTAAACTCTTCAGCAAAGGAAGTCAGGGATTTCAGAAGTTAGCAGAGGAGGGAATCAGGAAAGGAGAAGAAAGGCTTAATAGGATCTGGGCAGGCGGGCTGTAAGGAGGAAGATGGCCACTGAGAAAGTCCCTGACTGAGCAGGGGTTTCTCAAATTTAATTGTTTCAGGGTATCTGTGATATCTTGTGATTTACACCGTCTGTCCACCCAAGTCTTCAGTAAACTGTTGTTGCAGTTTAGAAATGGGAATGGGGTAAAAAAAGATATCGTGTAAATTTTGTGATGCTGGGCAATGCTGGGGCCTGGGGAGGTTATTTCTACCAGTTTCTATAATGGTGTTCCCTAGAGGCCAATTGGTTCACCTCACCTGCTTCCTCCCAATCTCCCAGATAAGCGGTTCTTCAGGGACTGTGAAGGTGGTGGTCGTGGACTCAGTCACTGCAGTGGTCTCCCCACTTCTGGGAGGTCAGCATAGGGAAGGTGAGTGGTGGTCTATCAGAGCCCAGGGTCAGGGGGATGTGATCGCGCCTCCCAGCTCTGGAATCCAGTTCCAGCCAGCCTAGTCCCTACTGCCCTGCTGCCCTCTACTCTGTTTCTCCTCCTTCAGGTTTGGCTTTGATGATGCAGCTGGCCCGAGAGCTGAAGACCCTAGCCCGGGACCTCAACGTAGCAGTGGTGGTGAGGAAGTGGGCTTGGCTAGCATGCTTGCTCAAGGGGAGACATGAATCTAATTGCTAGAATCTCTGTATTTCTCTTAAACAGTAGTCTCTGTACCCCCAAAGTGGTCCTCTAGGAAGGGCTCATAGCCCAACTTCCCAGTGTCATTTAGACACCTATGGAGGGATCAGGCCATAAGCAGCCAAGGGATAAGGGGCTGTTTTATGTTTCTTTTTATATTCCTTAGGTCCAGTTTATTGAGTTAATATTCACGTGGATTAGTTTTCTCCTTGGTTGAGGTTTGACTACCATATACCATCCTATCTAGTCTTGTCACCTCATCATAATCAAGATCTAGAATATTTTTTATCACCCCAGAAATGTCCCTCAGCCCCAGACAACCACTGATCTGGTCTCAGTAGTTTTACCTTTTTCAGAGATTCATAGAGAGGGATCTTTATGCTTTTAAAGTAACTTTTTCTGCTTATGATGTAATTTTTTAAATCTGCATGCTCTCATAGGAAGGGTAAAAAAATAGTTAAATATATGATTCAAATTTGTAAGATTTATTTTTATTTATTTATGCATACAAGAGCTGTGGTTTAGGCCAGAGGTTCGGGGGGGTAAGGTGGGGTGAGAGGACTCATCACAGACAGAGTGGGCAGCAGAACAGGCCAATCTACTGAAATACACTGCTGAGGGGAGTAGCGGGCGAGAGAGGAGAGGTCTGCTACTCCATATGGGTAGCTCCCTGGCCGGGGATCAAACTTGTGCTGCAGTAGCTGCTGATAGCTTCGTAGTGCTGACACTTAACCCCTTGCGCTACCAGAGAGGCCTGCATATTAATATTTTTTATATCTCCATAAACTCTTTTTTTTCCTGCATATATATATACAAACTTTTAACCAACTTTCTACCTAAACTCTAACCTCATTAAAAAAAGTATCTCATTCCATTTTCCATGTCTTAAATAGATTCTTTGAAAATGCTGTTTTTAGCAGTTACATATTATTTTAGTTAATGCCCGTGTTACATGGGTCGGCAAACTTTTTCTGTAAAGGATCACATAGTAAATATTGAGGCTTTATGACCATGTGTTCTCTGTTGCAACTACTCAGCCCTGCATGAGAGCTGCTGTAGACAACACCTTAGCAGATGGACATAGCTGTCTTCCAGTTCAACCTGATTTACAAAAACAGTTTGGGGACCAAATTTCCTGTGGAAGATAGTTTGCCAAGCCCTGTTACACCGTAACAATCTGAACATTTCTTGACTTGGAGCTTCTAAGTCATTACTGGCTTCCTCTCTTATAAAGAAAACTACAGTAAATGTCCTTATACCTCAACCTTTGAACATCTCATATTCCCTCAAACTAAAAATATGACAACTGAGTCAGTGATACCTCTATTTCTAAGTGTTTAGATATGACATTGCCAAATTTCCGAGAAGGTTATACTAATTTTGTGGCTCCTTAGGGCAGTAGAAGAGGGCTGATTTTCCTATTCTGCTCTTTTACTGGATCACAGGGTCTCTGTGATCACCTCTGTGTGCCAGACTGGCTCGGGCAGTCAGAGTTCAGTGATGCGCAAGCCATATCCCTGTCGTGGCGCCAGGTTGGGGAATATCATTGAGAGGATATTGTGGCTCGGGTTGCTTCCCCATGACTAGCCTGGCAGACCAGAGCTGACTGACTAGACCTGAACCCCTCTTCCAAAACTCCCCACCCCCACTGCCACAAAGGGCATGGAGAGGTCTCAGAGTGGCTGCCTGCTGGGTTAGAGGTATAAGACGCAAACCCACTGTTGTCTTTCCTTCAGGAAAGTGTAGCCAGCACTGCTGATTCCCAGACGCGTGCCCCATCGCTGCCTGGTTGGAGTTCAGCGTGAGCCCTCTTTGTTCTATGGGGACAGGTGGCACAAGTCAGGAACCCAGGGTTCTGGTGCCAGACCTGCTGTTGAGAAGTTAATGAGTTTTGGGGGGTCACTTCTCTGCACTGAGCCTCAGTTTCTCATCTGTTAAATGAAGTAGTAGGAAGTGCTGCTAGTGCAGTCCCCAATACTAGCATTGTGGATTTGTAAGCCTCATTCTTTCTGCACAGGTAACCAACCATATGACCCGAGACAGGGACAGCGGGAAGCTCAAACCTGCTCTCGGACGCTCCTGGAGCTTTGTGCCTAGCACCCGGATTCTCCTGGATGTCGGCGAAGGGGCAGGAACCTCAGGCAGCCAGCGCATGGCGCGTCTGACCAAATCTCCCCGTCTGGTGAGCAACCCCAGGGGAAAGCCAGGAATCAGCCTTCGGGGGTTGGTCTCTGTGCCCAAGATGTCTTCTAGAGGAACTCTCAGATGCTGAGACCCTGCAACCAAGGAGGCTACCTACTTGGATTGCTTAACTCAAAAACTTACCCTTCCCTCCTGTCTCTTGCAGCCAACAGGTTTCCAGGAGACGGTAGACATTGGGACTTGGGGGGCTCCAGAGCGGAGTCCAACATTATAGGCAGATCAGATACAGCTGTGCTGTTGACTGGGCAAGAGAGAGGTGTGGAGGCCCCAGCTCTCCTGCACGGTGATGCCTGCTGTGCACTGGCACCTCGCATTTGGAACTGCAGTAGAAGCTCTTGGGCCAGTCAAAAGAGACATCGTGGTTGGCTCAGCTGCTGGATCTGTGGAAAAAAATAGACGCCAGGTGAGAGGATGCCGTGATGGAAGTGCCTGGTAATTCATGCTGGTGCCAAGTTTTCTTCCCTTGTTTCCACTCTGCATGTTTCCTGCAGGGGCCAAGAATTCAGAGAGATGGCTGTCTACACTACAGGATGGTGCCACAGCACAAACCAGTCCTGCCTTGATCTCAGACTTCCACCTTCCAGAACTGTGAGAAAATAAGTTCTGTGTCTGAGTGGCCCAGTCTGTGGTCCTTGCAATGGCAGCTCAAGCTGTCTAATAGAATAATGAAAACCATGTTTTTCTCAAACTCTAGTGTTGTGTCTGCATCTCTGGATATGTGCACTCTCCCACACTGAATCAGAAGCTCCAGGCGTGCACTGAAAAATCTGTGCTATCACAGCTGCTGGGTTCTGATGCTCAAGTTCGGGAACCAACCCCACCCTCAGTGCCACTCTTCCCATCCTCCGACACCAGGGAGAGGATTTGGGGGTGTGTGAGGGAGGGGAAACTCTTTGAGTGTCTGGAAGGCTAACATGGGGACCACTGCCGGGACCCTGAGCTTGAACACTGCTAACATCTCTGCAGACATGTGAGTCCCTATGGGACCTGCGTGCAGCTCTTGTCCCTGATCTGAGCACCACGTGCTGTGGCCAAGACTGGCTGATTTATGTTCCCACCCATACAAGTGGGAAGTGTCTGTGACCTCCCATGTCACATCCACACTGAGACTTGTGGGTCCAATACTGGAGAAATGATAGGTCTCTGCCGATCTGATTGATATTCCTGGTTACTAGTGAGGTGGGGTGTGTTGTTGCTTGCTGTTCATTTATACAACTGCTATAGTATTCCTTGTCTGTTTATTCCTTCTGTTTTCTGTTCCTATTTACTCTCTCTTGGCTTCTTTTGGAGTGTTTGAATTGCTTTTAGACCTCTATTTTAATTACGCTCGAGGTTTAATTTTACAATATATCCTTGTATATTTTGGAGATTGCTCTTGGTATAGTATTTGTTTAGTATTTCATAATGTATGTAGAATTTAATATTTTATATCAAATTTAATATCAAATTGAATGTAGGGACTATCACCATGTAAATCCACTAACTCTTCCCTATTGACACTGTCCTATACATAACCTCTACATATGTTAAGAAACTGTAAGGCAATGTTATTGATATAATTTTTATTTTTATTGTGATACATATTTAAAAGAACTTAAGCAAACAAAAATTTTTGATTATGTTTACATACATTTTTACTATTTTGCTATTCTTTCAGTCCTGACATTCTACATTTTCTTTGGGTATCATTTCCCAAGAAATTCCTTTGGCATTTTTTGGAACTGTTTTCCCGGTGACAAATTCTTAGTTTTCTTTCATCTGAGATTATATTACCTCATTCCTGAAGGATATTTTAACTGGATAGGTATTTGTATGTGGAAAATGAAGTTCTTTTTTTCTAGCATAAAATATATTCTATGATTTTTTTTAAAGATTTATTTATTTATGCATACAAGAACTGGGGTCTAGGCCAGAGGTATGGGGTGGGTAAGAGGATTCACCAGAGACACAATGGGGTGCAGTATAGGCAGATATATTGAAATACACTGCTGAGGGGAGCAGCAGGCAAGATAGGAGAGGTCTGCTGCACCAAATGGGTTAGCTCCCTGGCAGGGGATCAAACTCATGTTGCAGTGGCTGGCAATAGCTTGATAGTACAGAGATTTTAACCCCTGTGTCACCAGGGAGGCCCTGACCGCTATGATTTTTTTTTTAAAGATTTATTTATTTATTTATACAAGCACTGGGTACAGTCAGAAGCACGGGAGGGTGAGAGAATTCACCAGAGCCAGAGCGGGGAGCAGAACAGGCAGACTGACGAAATACACTGCTGAGGGGAGCAGTGGGTGGCAGGAGAGGTCTGCGCACCATGTGGGACCCTCACTGGAGGCGGGGGATCGAACCGGCGCTGCAGAGGCAGCGGGCAGCTTCGCAACCCAGTATTCAACCGCTGTGCCACCAGGGAGGCCCCCTGATCTCTGTGATTTTTGATGAGAAACATGTAATGATTCAAATCCCATTCCTCCATGTGAAATTCCTATTTCCCTGTTGTTGTTTTTTTTTTAAATCAATGTAACATTGGTTTACGTCACTGTTTGTGTCTGAGAGTGTAGGATCTACCCCTTTAGGCACTGGTATCACACCGCACCTTTCACCAGAACACCCACAGTCCATGACCATCATCTGTTGTGCCCCTTGTACACTTTGTTTTCACCCCATTTCATTTTTTTTCTTTAGTTTTCAGCAGTTTAATTGTGATGTATCTGAGCATGGATTTATTTGGATTCACTGAGTTTCGTATATCTGGAAGTTTAGGTATTCTGCCAATGTTGGGACGTTTTCAGTCATTATCTCTTAAGAAATATATATATATATAATATTATACATATATTATAGAACACATATATGTAATATATATATATATTACAGTGCAAGGGCACAGGCTCACCAAATGCCTGAGACCTTATCACAGTACAGAATGTATCTTTCCCACATCTCACCACATCATTACTAAAGACCTACTTCCCAGAGTTCCTTTTACCCAATGTGTCATGTCTGTCTACCAAGAAAAATTACCAAAGGGGAAAAAAAAAAACTTACTAAAAGGCAAAATAACTCAGCTTGACAACACAGAGTAAACATCAGAACCAGACTCAGATCTGGCAGAAATGTTAGAATTATGAAATCAAGGAATTTGAAACAAGATGAATATGCTGAGTGCTTAATGGAAAAAAAAGATAATATGCAAGAACAGATGTGCATTGTAAGCAAAGAAATTGAAATTCTAAGAAAGAATTAAAAAGAAATGTCAGTAGTCAGAAACACCCTAACAGAAAAGGAGAAACACTTGATGGACTCAGATAGAAAGGACACAGCTGAGGAAGGAATCTGAGCATGAAAACAGGACAATAGAAAATTCTAAAACTGAAACACAAAGGGAAAAATAGATTGACAATTCAAGAACTGTGGGGCAACTACAAGGGGGTCTCATTCACATAGTGGGATTTTCTGAAGGAGAATAAAGAAAGAACAGAAAAATGACTGAAGCGATAATGACTGAGACTCTCCTCCAAATTAATGTCAGATACTAAACCACAGACCCACTAAACTCATAGACTATCACCCAGTTAAAAAAAAAAGTTTTAAAAAATCCGATACTTACTCAAAATGGCAGATATATTTTCAAACTTACGAAGATCAAAGATGAAAATTTGAAAGAAAAACCACCAACCCAGAATTCTGTACTCTGAGTAAGTCTCCTTCAAAGGTAAAGAAAAAATGAAAGATTTTCTAAGACAAAACAAAATGGATGGAAATTGTGAGAAGTTCTGCCTCACAAGAAATGTTAAAAGAAATTCTTGAAGAAGGAAAATGATACAGGTCAGAAGCTCATGTTTACATGAAGAGAATTCATCAGAAAATGTGTTATAGGTAGAAATAAAAGCTCATTTTAACTGATCTAGCAGATAACAGTTCAAAATAACAGCAGCAATGTATACTATTTATAGGCTTATGAATGTATATATACCAGACACACATTTATTAAACAATCTGACAGTTGTGCTCCTTGATATTTACTCAAAGATTGGAAATTTTATGACCATACAAAACCTGCACTAGCAGCTTTGTTCGTAACTGCCCAGACTTGGAAGCAGCCCAGTTGATGGTAGATAAACCAACTGTGCTACATCCTGACAATGGAATATTATTCAGCACTAAAAAATATGAGCCAACCAGCCATGAAATGTGAAATCCTAAATGCATATTACTAAGTGAAAGAAGCCAATCTCAAAAGGCTACATACATTTACATGATCCAATTACACAATGTTCCAGAGAAGATAGAACTATGGAGAAGATAAGACTGGTGGTTGTCAGGGTTTGGGTGTTGAGGGGGTAATGAATAGAGCACAGAGGATTTTTAGGGCAGTGAAACTATTCAAAAGAGTACTGCAGTGGTGGAAAGATGTCATACATTAGTGCAAACACATGAAATGCATAGCGTACATTGATATTGCAGGTTCAATTCCAGATGACCACAAAAGTAAATATCAAAATTTTTGGTTTCCTAATGTATATAAAAGGTATGCTTGCAGTACACCATGGCCTATTAAATTGCAATGTCATTATGTCCTTAAAAAAACCAAAACAATGTATATATCTTAACTAAATGTACCAAGTAAACACATGCTGTTACAAAAAATGGTGCCAACAAACATGCTCAATATAGGGTTGCCACAAATCTTGGATTTGTAAAAACATAACATCTGAAAAGGACAATAAAGCAAAGTTCAATGAAAACTAGGTATACCTGTAGAAAGCTTCATGTAAGGTATGGACTTTAGGTGATTATGGTGCGTCATCATTGGTTCATTGATTGTAGCAAGTGTAGCACTGTAGGGAGGGGTGCAATAGTGGGGACAGTCTGTGCATTTGGGGGCATAGGCGAGCATATGGGAACTCTGTTTCTTCTACTCAATTTTGGCTGCAAACCTAAAACTACTCTAAAGATAAATAAAAATAGATAACCCAAAACAAAGATATAAACAACATTGTTCTATAACGATTACATGGTGTTTACATCGCTGATTTTAGTTACTGGGAATGAGAAAGCATTTCAGAAACAGCCAAATTTTACACCTGTCCCTTTCAGTCAACATGGTTTAGTTCACCATAGAAATGCAATTTCAGGACTTAAATCATTACTTAATCACAGAAATAAAAAAAAGAACACTGTTAAAACAGGTACTCTTAGAAACCTTTTAAATGCTATTGTGCAAACCTGGCTAGTAAGAAACCCAGTAAAGGATGTTGTCAATGATGTCAAACTTGTCCTGCTGCTCACAACTCCTGACTGTCTGACTCCAGAAACCTGCACTTCATTTTAATCAAGAATTCAAAACATAGTCTCCTTCACTATTTCCCACCCAAAATAAGACGCACTCCGCTTCAGAACTAGTATTGCTGCACCCTGAACATGCATGTGTTTTGAATAAAGAAAGGGTGGTGGTTAATTTCTTATCTCTGCATAGAAAACCATTGACTCTGCTGGAAAACTTGAGTTTTTAACCTGAAAAACATAATAGAGTTTCATGTTAAAAATGTAATTCAGGGGCCTCCCCAGTGGCGCAGCGGTTGAGCGCTGGGTTGCGAAGCTGCCCGCGGCCTCTGCGGCGCCGGTTCAATCCCCGGCTGCTCCCCGGCCACCAGAGGAGGGTCCCACATGGCGCGCAGACCTCTCCTGCCGCCCGCTGCTCCCCTCAGCAGTGTACTTCGGTCCTTCTGCCTGCTCTGCTCCCCGCTCTGGCTCTGGTGAATTCTCTCACCCTCCCGCGCTTCTGACTGTACCCAGTGCATGTATAAACCAAACAAACAAATAATAAATAAATAAATAAGACATGCCTCTAGAAAATTAAAAAAATAAAAAAATAAAAAAATAAAAATGTAATTCAATGTTACTCAGTCCAGATTTGGGGTGAGGGAGGGTTACCTTCTCTTAAATCTTAGTCACCAATGTGGGAAGAAGATGGGACATGAAATCATATCCTGGAATCCTTTTGGCTTATCACTCATATTTTTGTTCAGGGTTCATATGAATGCTTGCTTCATCCCAGATGACTCAGATGAAGCCACTGGCATGCACATCTGGTCTCACCTCAGCTGGGGATCCTGTTAAATCACCTGCCTGGTCTGAACTGTCTGTGGACATAGTTTCTGAACCCTGGTAAAGGCTCTCTGCCCTTGCATTGCCATTGAAACTGGCAATACAAAAATGTCAATTATTACTGTCAATTACTGTGATAGGAGCTTTATATATCTATATGTTAAACCGCTTTAAAGCTTTATATGGTTTCAATACAGTGATATACTGTGGCACTATGGGACATTTAAGGAATTTTCAGGATTAATTTTATTATGCTACCAAATCTATTTGATTTCAGATGCAAACAGAAATCTTCCATACCCCACAATAGCATATTAACCGACTGTTTAGTACACATAAATGACAAAAAAGTGCTTAATGTATAACACTAAGTGTTAGGTAAAATATTATAATAGGACAATTAAATATATAATTTTGGTGTCATTTTTATTTTTCTCTGAGCAGTGCATGTATTACAGCTTAAGGATTTACGTAAAAACACAAGGTTCATAACAAAAAAAATCTGTCCTGTCCTCCCATCCCCACTCCAGATCCCCATTGCTACAGAGCACCCACTTTAGTTACTTCTGAAGATTCTCAGGTTTTTAAACAGTGTGATAACTAGCTTTTTATGATGTTTTCATTTTGCCATTGTGCGTTAATAGCTCACTACACAAGATGAAGACTTGGAACTTTTTCCTCTCCCACACATTTCACCTCCTCCAATCTCTATACTTTTAACCCCTCTTCTTCTTGTTAAGTCCAATGTTTTTTAATTAAATTATATTAAATGTTGTCCACTGTTGAGCCTAGTAGGTACATATCACATTATTTTATGTTTATATACACTTTAACATTTTTACATAAAGTTATAAATTGTGTTTTTACAATATGCCTTTATCAGCACAGTGTTTTTGAGATCTATCCATACTGATTCTTGTAACTATAAA